ATTCCGTCTTTCAGTCCTAATCGTAAAGAATAGAACGAAAAATAAAAGTAAAATAAAAGGCACCCTTAAATAAAACAATTTAACGGTTTAAAAAGCGATTCGTTAAACTTATTTTATACTTATATATAAATGTAACTAATTAAATCGCGATTTAAAGTGTTTTATTTAAATGTGTACTACTCGCGTAAAGTACAGACAGTATTTAAGAGTCACTCGTTAAAGAACTGCGCAATTAATTCGATTAAAGCAAAGAACGGACGCCTAGCGTTTTTCAGAAGCGATTAAACCGTCAACCCCTTGTACGATTGTTTCTTATATAGTAGCGCAACTCCTGTGAACCGCACAAGTGGCAGCAATCGATAGGACTCCGCCCATTGACCTATTTACAGGGATTAGGGACGCTTCAAGCTTCTCTTGCATTTTCGTCAAAAAAGGCTAAATGAATACTTCGGTCACATATCTGGGAGCAATCTCCGAGAAGTGGCAATAACAATGAAACGATCTGCAGGGATCCAATTCTGCCATTTACAATGGCTAGTCGCTTGTCTATCGTTAGGCGTTTACCATTTTACTAGCTGACTAGCATAATGGCTTACTAATATCGTGAGAGTTGGATAACCTGGAACCTGTTCTTTGGATGATGTAGGGAAATGGGTGAAATGGTCGGCTGATGGGATGGCCTGATCATCCGACCTTCTATCGGTGTCCCTGATAGAAAAAATCATATTAATGTCGTAGCACTGACGACTGACTGTAAAAAACAGGCAATTTACTAGTTTATTGCACTAGGCTATGTCAATGGCCTGTCGCTAAACTATCACTTGTACGTGAATTAGCAGAATTGGGACACAGCTAGCGGAGAGGCCCTTAGTTCTGTGTAATCAGATCGACACTCGAAGCATTTGTCCTTCGAACGTTTGGAACTATCACTTAGATATATGTCTGTTACGATGGCGTCTAGCCTCACGCTGACAAATCGCGTTAGTATTTTGGTCGATATTAATGTACCGTTATTAGAGTTATTGTTGAGCATTTTAGCGTAATATAAAACTCATCAATATAAACTTTTTCGTTAAATGTTGCGCATAAAAACATTTTTATTACGTTAAGCTACAATGTAACACATAAATAATCACAAACATAGAAAATGCTAATAAGTAAAGCGCAGTGTATAAAAGTACTTCATGGGAAACAGATTTATTGAAAAGGAGTTTGTCTACAAACATTTTGCTAACTAAAGATTCCTTTATCTCAATCATTGAACGCATATCAAGTCGGTTACATATTACAAAAAATATTCTGTTTCTATTCGTTTAACAGTCTATAATTAACTTTACGATGAAATAATTATAAAAAAGTTCACAAAATTTACTTTACCTATTGCTTTATTATTTAATGGTAGTTTTTATACTAATTGTTCCTTTACTTTGCGGTCCATTGAAATAATTTGGTCGAGTTAAAAGTCCACTTGTGACAGATAAGGAAAGTTGTATAAAAAGCCTGGCGCAATACCTATTTATATCGCGGAAGGCTTTTACTGACGTCCGGCGTGGTCTACTTTCCGATCTTTAGCGTAGTTTATTGCATAAAGGATGAATGTCAGCGAATTCACAAACATGGCTGTGTTTGTGAATTAAAACACGAATGACTACTGCGCTAGGTAAAGAAGTCTCGAACGGTAAGTTCATAAATAAGAGATATTTATATTTGGAACTGCGATGATTCCTACTAAAGCTTTATAAAATATTTTTCTATTTATCCAAATTAAGAACTTTTTACACCAGAATAATTAGCAGGGGTTAGTAACATTTAATCTAAAGTCCATCATTACGGTCAATGCAGATCACTTCACGTCTTCCGCAGCGCCGCTATATCGTGTGTCAGAAATGTGATCTGCGATCATTAAATATTTAGTGAATATGTTACTTTATATTAAAGGTTTGCAATTACTGCCTTTATACTCGAATACTTGAAATACACGAGTATCAAAATAATTTAATAACTATGTCTGATATCTATAGACTTCTGTCAATAGCCATAAATGACGGAACGACTCACATTTTTTTTATTATTTGAGGATTACTATAATATACATTAAAGTAGAATATATTATTTTAGGGCATTAGTTGAATTTAAAGCGTATAAGTGGATATATAAATAGTATTTGTATAAAAAGTATGAAAAGATAGATCACCTGCTGTAATAATTGAAGAATTGTTGTTCTTCTTTCATAAATTATGATTGTGTGCTGAAGTACTGCGACTTCCACATTCGTTAATTTAACGTTATGTTGACATGAGTGATTCTACTTTAGTGGCATACTTTTATGATTTATACTTTTACGATACATTTATAGCATATTACGGATAACACTATAGATGGGTATATTGTATTATATTACTTAGTTTTATATAAGAAAAAGTTATCAATTACAGTGGTATTATAAACCGTTCTTTTATTTTTGTTACTTTTTAGATTTAGGGCAGGCTATTTTAAATACTATGGAAAGTATGTTTTATTTATTTTTAATTAATTTAATGCGATCATTAAATTAATACAAAGATCATACACTAATTTATATTAAACGTACGTTATAGTAAAAATCTATGACAAAACTGGAATTACAATTGGATTTTTAATTGATATAATTATAAAGCACTTCATATATAAGCACATTGTAAAAATATATTGTTAATTTAATCTACTATTAGCTTAAATCTTCATAAATATACAGAACTGTTCTTTATGTGCAATAAATGTCCTATAAATCTAATAAATGTGTTTGAACGCGTAAGCACTATTTAAACTAGATAATACAGTCATCATTTTAACATGAAAAGGGAGGCAGAATTTCGTGTAATATACAAAGATCATTTTCCATTATTTATTTAATTGAGATACCATCTGATGAAGACAGACGGATAACAAATGGAAATAGGGTCTTAGTTATAGTTTTAACGTATTGTAAGACAATAATAACTTGACTTGTTGAAATCAATAATTTGTGAAATATTAAATACGAAAATTAAACACATAAATCATTACTTTATTCGTCAAATTATCTAACGTAAAATATTTTTAAAGGACCATATTATAAACACATATCAACGCTACTAGATTTATTATAAGTTCTCTTATATAAAAAAGCAACTCCAGAATATTCTATAAATACAACAACTAGCCACAGACAATTTTTTGCCGGAACGGTTTATGTTTAGACCTTAAAAGGTCAGTCGTCTGGAGCGACCGAATTTAGACCTGTAAAATCAATTTTAAATGCTCAGCTCCGCGACCTCAATCTATGAAGCCTTAATATTTAAAAGGGGACGAATATAAAGGCTGCAAACATTTTAAGTAGCTATGCAAAACCTAAGCTGTTAAGACCTTTTGTCGTTTATTTGTTCTTGTATTAAAGGCGTTGTGTGTTCTAGATAACCTAATTAACATATCTATTACAGCTACAGTTTTTAGATAATGTTTTTGAAGTATTCATATACCGCATGCTTCTTACACATTGAATCATTAATCATTACTTCTATAGAGCTCGCAAAATCAATAATTATAGAACTTTGAATGTTGTTTCAAATGAACACGTTAACAAGCGTAAAATGTAGCACTTCACAGCGACTGCAGCTTAATTATAACTGAAATGTATGCCTCTATTTTTAATTATTTTCAGTGAATGAAATTTTTGTGTTGCATGGATACTGACCTACATTTTATTTCGTTCGATTTAGACGGGAATGTGGTATGTGTGTCTCTACGTACTTTGCTAACTAAATGCAATATATAATTTATACATACTGTCTACAGTTTACGCGAGTAGTACACTTTTGCTGCAAAGCATCCGAAACGTCGGGCCGAAGTTAAAAATCATTTTTAAATAAGTTTAACTAATATATCGCGTTTTAAACCGTTAAAGTGTTTTATTTAATAAAAGACCGACATTTTTCAGAAAAATTATAAATTGAAACATGTTGGACCCGATGGGGATCGAACTCACTACGAACGATTACTGATTAGTAGCCAAAGATTGCTACCATTACACCAATGAGCACGTTGAAAAGTAACGAACATTAATTTCTGATGATCTTAAAAATCGTGAATAGGTCTTTTTCGGTACTGAAGGGCGCCAAAAACCTTCCCTAAGGTGGAAAGTGAAATGAATCGTGCTTGAACTGAAGCTTATCGATACCGGAACCAGGTCACGGTCCATTGCGCGTTACATGCCGACCTAAGGGCATTTTTATTACTCGAAATAATCAATGGACCTAGCCAATTAGATTTTCTTCGAGTTGAATATTGTATCCGCATATTCTTATTATTAAAATAGACAGAGAGACCGGTGTATAAACATTGTATAGAGCCAATGTTCGAAAAATCATGAATCAATATTCACGATCACGTGAAGCTTTTTCTATAAAATCAATTGCGTTACTAGTATTGATTCATATGCCCAATAATTATTCGATACAGTTTAAATCGATTTAAAAGTATATAATTAAAATAAAAGCAACCTGACCCTCCGTAGTCATACATAATAAATAAAGAGTTCGCGCTTGCGTCACTATTAAACGATGACGTCACGAACATAGGTGATACATGCTGGATGCTGCTGGATTTTGAACATTTTTTATGTTCTTAATTATCAAGTATAGTTGTAATCTTCTTTCGTAAAGGCAAAAATCGAGCTTAATAAAAAAAAATTTTTTTGAAGGTAGGTTGCATTTGAACACCCAAAACTTTGTGTGGGTATTTAGAGCTCATAATTTCTCATAGAATTGTGACCATAGTAATTTCTTTACAATGATTAATGTAAGCTCACATGTTCCTACCTCTAAAATGTTCTCAATGCTATGTAATTTAATATTATATCTACAGATAATATTGACGTACTGTCAAGGTATCCTAATGGTTTTAACGGTCATTCAAATATAATATGTGACAAAAAAATAATGTTTATTTTAAGCTTGACAGAGGAATTTTTATACAAAACTTACCAGTATACGTCCAGTGGTTGTTTGACCGGAGATAAGTTCGCCGGCCCAATCTTTGGCCTCGGTCATGAAGGTGCCCTCGAACTCCTGTTTTCCCTGGCGCGCCGCTTTCTGCTCCTTCTGCTTGGGGTCGTTCGGGGACAGCTCTGGCTCCCGGCGGCAGCAGACGAACGCGCAAGCGCGCCATAGTAGCACCACCAGCAAACCCGCGAGGAACGTGAAGATAGACGACAGTAGGAAGCACCACCATTTTCGGACACTGAGGCAGTCATATTCAGGGTTCGGCGCGGTTGTCGCCTCTTCCTCGGACGAAGCCATTCCCCGAGGGCGCGAGGCATCCAGGCAGGCGCGCCATGCACGTGCTGAGACGCGCGCGTTCGCACGTCAGCCCGCGCGCGACACTGCGTCGAGCGGCGAGGCCGAATGCCGAGTGGGCGCCGAGTCGCTCGATGGCGCGCGATCGATCCGCGCCTGCGCACCCGCTACCGCCCGCTCATACTGACCCGCGGACCGCGACCCTCGCTTATCTTCTTTCCCCAAATCGTCACGCTTCGACCTCTACCCACCCCGTTCTTGATAAACACCCTGAATGCCACCGTTCCGACCTGCGTTGCGTCCGTCGAAGCCCGATCGCCTACCAGATGTCCTTTAAGACTACCTCCTTAAGCGCACCAGATTATATTTAAAATTTTCGTTTTTAACTCGTAAATATATACAACCGCTGCTCAAACTTTCGATGACTTCACGCTCGTTCAAAGGCTGTCAGCGGACTGAGTTGCCATATGCGGACTGAGGCGATTATGAAGGTTTACTTGGTGGGCGGGACGTCTATGTATGTGTCTTCGTTGAATGGAGTACTACGCCCTCTATGCCGCGCTTTGTGCTACGAAATTCGTAGACGTTTAGGAAAGCTACGATTATAAGAACGTCACGTTCTGTAGGGACGGTGTAAAGCTTTTGTTTCCAGCTTCCATTGTTTCGGAATCTTAGGTAGTTTTGATTCATATGGGGTCGTGGGGAGTTGTCTATGACGCATTTCTTGAAATTTATAACTTGTTAGGAGTAAAATATAGGGAGTAAACTCTTTTTAACGAATTTCAGTGGGACCGATATATTTTTATCCTTATAAAGAATTAAGCTTTGGATTGATTGACAAAAAATATTATTAATCTTTACTGTTTTTGATAAAAGTAACAATTTTTATTTTATTATAAAAATTTTATTATATTGTTTAATGCTTTCTATCTATCACTAATTGTATGGTGGAAAAATTGATTTAACAATGAAAAACATCTCATTGAATGGCTAAGCATAAATTATTATAATAATATTGACTTTGTTTGAGACTTCTTTTTCCTTGTCAAAATATGAGCTTCTTTTAATAAGAGTTTCTGCTGAACTATAAAGGGGGTATGTTATCAATATATGGAATTTTAGATGCCCCAATTAAATTATTATCTTCTATCTGTTTATTAATAGTTTTTTTTACCAATTTCACTATAAATTTCTTCTTTACAGCTCTCTTAGTTTATAGACAAATATTTACATTAGTCTTTTCCATTAAGACAATAAAATGACAATTGTAACTTGACAAATGTTTTATTTCATAGTCCGTAAAACACAACAATATGAAACATTTAGTGTTTTAGTATCTATCTCTGCATTTTTTGATAAAATGGTTTATACTTTTTTTCACTATCTGAAGTCTATATATAAATATTCTTTTACAATAGTCTAAACAATAAATATTATTATTAACAACTAATTACTTGTCCTTATTAAACTACACATTCTCTTGCTTATCTGGTACCATTTCTCCAATCCACTTTAGGTATGGCGGATTTCCATTTTTTATTGGTAAAGAAATTACTTCACAAACCTCATATGGGTGGTTGGTTCGGACAAATTCTGTCAACTGATCTACTAAGGAAGTGCGGGTTTTGATCATCAGTAATGCCTGAAATAGATATGTGTAAATAATTAGATCTGGTGGCATAGGATATATATAAAAAGGCATACATATATATATTATATCCAAGAATTTTTTACCAGCTTGAATAATTTGCGGTTATTAGATTCTTTTTTTCAGCAAAAGGTGTGTTATAATATTAGAAGATCGAACCTCATTATCTTCATTAATCTCATGTTTCCATTCATATATTGATGTAACTTGAGGTATGATATTGACACAAGCAGCTAGTTTATTTTTGACGAGGCCATGACCAATAGTTTTCCCAACATCTGTGCTAGGGACAGTTACATATGCAACTGAATACTTATCTGTAAAAAAAATACTGTTTCAAGTCTACAGTACTACTACAGTGAATATGGTACATAGTAATCTTATTTAATATTATGCCCGGTGATGTTAGACACATTTAGGATGTTTTTTGTGTAGATACCAATTCTGGACCAATTTTAGTATAGATACAATTTTACCGTGTTGAATGTAGTTACTTAAATTGTTCACTTTTTGTTCAATAGTTCGTTACTTTTATATTTATTTAAGTAATGCATAGTTGAAGTAGTTATTTCACTTTTAATTTTACAAGAAAAAGAACAAAACTAATAAATACTAAATATTGAGAATTGTTCAGGTTTTGCACTTATATTTATCGATAGTAAAAATACTTACCGGCATCCACACTACCTGACATATTTTGAGCTACTATAAAAACGGGCCTTAACAGCGATAGATAAAATGTCAACAATTGTCCTTTATTGAAAGATGTAAGCATTTTACGCATTAGCCATCCAAGCTCTCTTTCACAGTTTCTGTTTCTAGAATTTTTTGAATATTGGATTTCACGTAAATAATAAATCACCTAATAAATAATTACTCATGACGACTAAAGTATATGTACTCCACAGATAATAGAACGCATCAATCTAGAGGAAAAAAATGTTGACTGGCCGAAATGGGAAACAAAACGTAACGTAACGTATTTCAGTCACTTAAAATGGAAAACGTTACATTTTTTTAGGTTTACTTCTGAGATATTATCATATTTGCTAATATTTTTATGACATAGATTCCGCGTGTAAGTTATAATTAACAATCATTTTAACACTATCTAACAAAGTGGAATAAAATCCCTTGAAATATTAAGCGAGTTTGGAGATAAAAAACGATGTAATGATTTTGAAACAATTTACAAGACATACAAAAACCTAAATACATTCTAGTACATAATCTGTACCCTACCGACTACCATAGATAATAACTAAGTATGTATTTACCACTATGTGTAGTCTGTGTTAAAATTACAATACTAACGTAATTTTGGCATTAGTGAAAGGCCTTTTCTTTTTTAAAGTATTTACATGGCCAGTATGAAACAATATTTGTAAATTTATTTCTATATTATTTATATTATGTAATCAGATAATTTTTGCCAGTTAGATGCAAAGTAAAATCACTTATGAAACCATTGATTTATGTCTGAAGTGGAATATAGGTTTTTATTTGACATAAACTAATCCTTTATTTCGGAAACAAAAGCTTGGTGATTTACTATTAAACTATTTATTTTTTTAATCGTCTATAATATTCTGAGCAATACATGTACAACAGCTTGGTACTTGGAAAAAATCTTCAACAACAGTGTTAGTGGTAGGATCCAAGGCAAACATTTTTCTTAAAATATATTTCTGTATGCATTTTCCTTCATGTTTTCTAGAGAAATGCGCTATTGCCGAGCAACTGCTTATTTCGGGGGTTGCGTGCGATCCGGCGCTGAAATAACAGAAATAGAAAAAATATCTAATAAGAAAATATTACTTTATTGGCTATAATTAACCATTTGTCAATAAATGAAAAATATAAAACCTGATATATTTAACTACGTTCCGTATATATTATCAATAAATTGAAAATTTTATGTTTATGCATAGGGAACGTATTACGATTTGAAATATTTTTTGATAGTTTTAAGCGTTAATTTTACCTGCATATTTCCGCTGCGAATTTTTGACCATTATCGGTTTGGTTTGTATTAATTATAAATTGCCATTCGTCATATCTATTTCTAGCTGCCTTCGGGTAGATAGCCTAGAGGACATAGTAAGTGGAGAGTGGATTAAATAAAGAGGCTCTTTTACGAAAAGTATTACACGATTATACCTGTTTTGATTAAATAAATAAATTTTATACCTTCTGAAATGACGGACATAACGGTATTTCTTCAACATCGGAGGCAAATCTTGACCGTAATCCCAATTTCATAGGATCGTTATTCAATAAGATATTTTTATTTTGGAGCTGCAACATAACATTATTTTTTTAGATAATGAAAAAGGATAATTTTAGAAATAAATATGTCTGAAGTTTACGTGATAGTAAAAATTTAACTTTTAAAAACGCGGAATATAGTTTATTTTATGCGTTTTAAATCGTTATAATTATTTTATTCAAATATATAACATACTTTGATATCCAATCAAGAAATAAATATCTGGATCATTTATAGTTCTATCAATATGTTGTGTTTATAATCTTTGTAGACTAACCTGTTCTAAAAGAGTAGATGCTAAATCCTCCGGATAGTCCGGAACATTTTCGCAAATTCCTAATGTTTCACACTCTTCAGGGATATTTAGTTTCATTCCTGAAATAACACTTGAATAAGAATCTAAAAAGATTTCTGTACTATTTGTTGTTTACGCAAACGCATTTATGGGTTCAAAATAGGAAATACATAGGTATGTAGGTAACCTATATTACTGAAATGACTCTTAATTTATTTTAACTACGACCCGACCTTTACGCAGAGGACGTATGTCGTAGTTGAAATTACTTAAAAATAAGTAGTGTATTTATGATTAAAATAGTTTAAAGTTTATTTTAAGACCTCTAGTAAGTAGCTAGTATATAGTAAATGGAGCAAGTCAGACTAGCGTCTAAGATTATAAAATGGGCTTAAAAGTAGCGATTATCATGAGTACCTACTTTTAGCATTATTCATTTTAATATATATTTACTAAATATATTAGTTACAATCTAAAATATAATTATTACCTCTAGCTTCCATATTTTCAGGTACTCTTATTTTGAAACCCTGTGCAGGACCTTTCATTGTTAATATCTAAAAAAAAAACAAAATTTGTGATGAATGTGGCTGATTTACAGTAAAATTTTAACTGATTTTACAAAGCGTAGTGCGAATTACAAACAAGAAAGTGTTTGCACAAATATCCGCGAGTAAATGAGTCATTTAAAGCAAATAAAACATATAATTATTAAATGTGGTTAAATCCTATACTTACAAATATAATATGTAGAAAGTAATTCGTTTCTTTGACTAGGATGACCATTGTCGTTCGCAATTGCACGATTACAGTGTTTGACTTCAATTTAATGGGATAACTATTCGTATTTAAGTAGGACCATATACTACTAATTAAGCATTTTCCTGTCCTGATGATAATGATGACGTAAGACTTGATCTCATTAATTATTCTCCTCTTATGCTTGATAATATAATAAGACCTATATATGATTAAAAGGGCCTTTGTTCGCAATCGGAACTTTTAAGGGATAAATGATAAGAACTTAGATTCTTTATCTTGCAGCGTTCACTGTATTTTCGTAACTGGTATACTAAGGGTTTAATTATTTAGGATTTTAACATAATAGTTTTAAGCAAGACGCAAGAACATCATCATCTTGAAAATTAAATAGAGTGCTTCTAAATAGTTGTTACTTACAATTCTAATTAAATCACAGATAATATGTTGAAAAAAATGACTGAATAAATAAAGCGAACCCTACGGACCAGGATTATTTTAGCCAGAAGTAAAAGAAGCAGATTAAGCCGGAAAACCTTTATTATCTCATATATTACCATTTTCTGTTAAGTAATACATTTCATTGAAAATAAAATTCTATCTAAATACCGCACAAGCGCAGCAAAGTGGCCATGCTACTATCTTCCGCAAAACTTGTTTAAGGTCGCTACTAAGCACGAGCACGTATCTGTTATAATATTTCTGAACACATTCTCCGTGAAAACCGCGGCAGTAACCACCCACATTCACGCAAGATGTTTCTGGAGGGCCTCTGTAGATTAGAGTTAAATTAAGGTTAAAAATATTCCATGTTAACTGATGGAAAAAAGTAGCCGACTTTAGGGACAGCAATCATTGTAAAATTTACCATTAGTAAATGAAGAAATTGAAACATGTTCTATGATAGTTTGATTATTTTCATCCCCTATCAAGGAAAGTAGTGTTAGGAGTTAACGGGGGACCTTTGCTTCGAATAAGGATAGAAAGTAAAAGTAATAATACATTTTGAATTACTTACCTACAAGCCTCTGCCCTAAACGTCTAAAGATATTAGAAAATTATGATATAATAACCATTTCCGTGGCTAAAGACAGATTACGAATTGCCTTAATTGCAATAAGGCAACGGAAGGGATGTTTGGGAAACATTAATAATTTCGGTCCTGCAGGACACAAGATAGATCAATTTGTCTGTTAAAACTATTGATCAGACAATAAGAAACGGAAATTTGTCTATCAAAGCCCCAAATATAGGAAACGGAATTTGATCTATGACTTACAGACATTGCTCTCCTTTGAACCTCTGCGCAGTTGTATAGTTAGAGTTAAGTACTAAATACCATTGATAGTTGGAGTCCCTCACTGCCTTTGGCCGAAGATACTACAAGTTAAAGAGATTAATAACATTTTGTAAGAGATTTTATATATAACTTTTCTTTAATTTTTCATTTCAGTACTAACCACTCGTCTTGATGAACAAAGTTTGTAAGCTTCGTTAATGACAGTGTGAGGTTCCAAGAAATCCGGGTCGTAATTGAAGTGTACTTTGTCTATCATCTGTAACAATATAAACCATTTAAAACGCAAATTATATGTCTTAGAACATGGAAATTTTTTTCAAATGTGTGTTCTCTATTAGGGCTTACAGAAACACTAATGCAGAAAAGTATAATAATTATTAGTAACAAATTTTATGAGTTATTGAAGAACTGATGACGTATATTTCGAGAGAATTTTACGTCATTACTAGAGTTTGATTCATTACGAGTTGATATGTGGTTATTAATAATATTTTCAAGTTTCCTGGAAGATTTAGTGTTCTCACCATTTTATTAATAATATCGTTTACTTCTTCTTCTGGAAAGTCTGGGATCTCTTCGCAAATACCTGTACTGTAACATTCTTCGGGAATCGTCAGTTGTATATTTTTCCCAAACCTCACTTCGTATAAAACTTCACCATCTGTGTTTAAAGAATATAATTTGTAGATTGGATAGAAGTCAGTTTTAGTAGTATGTAGTGCAATTATATAGTGCCTTCATGTGCAATAACATGTAAAAATATTAAAGTTTTCAAAGTATGCAGTGTGTGTGTGCATGATATCAACACACTGCAGACTACTAAAACTGACTTTAGCTTTCATCATTTATTTGATCATTGCTCTTAGTAACAATATACGAACTATTAAACAAACCTTTTACATTTTGGGGTTCTACTTTAGTTAATTCTGCCCCAGATATTTCTTTTAATGCCTAGAAAGATACAAAGGAACAGTTTATAAAAGACAAAATGTTTATTCGCAAAAAAAAATACATTTTAAAGTTTCACATAAAACGAACCATTATGTTTTGACATCTCAACAAAATTTAAGTAATATCCATTTTTCAACTTCACGAATGTAACAATATTAACACTAAATATATTTATACTCCAAAGATATTTCTTTTTTTTAACTTATATAAATATCTGTCTTACCATTATCCATAAGATTAAAATGTTCAAATAAGGTATTTTTTTCATCATATTTTTTATTTCCAAATATTTTATTTAACACTTCCTTTCTCTTGCTCTCTGTTATGTTGTAATAATTAATAACTTCGTTAATATTTATATATGAATGGATAGGACAGCCTTCGCTAATTTACAATATAGAAACTTAATTTATAGTTTCATAGTTTAAAAAGCCTGATAAAAATTCAACGCTAATCGCGTTTAATATTGATGACCGTTTAACGAATATTTTTATTCGTCTAATTTTTGACATACTTGTACTGTATATGCAGCTCGGCACTTGCATAGAAAAATCTGCTATAACACTTTTACTTGTATATTTCAATTCATACATTATTCTCAAAAAAAAAAAAATCCAATGCATATTTTTCTAGAGAAGTGGGTTATTAAATAATTGCTTCTAATTTAATAGGCAGGATTATGATAAAATTAAAAAAAAAACACTGGATAGTCGCTTTACCTAATGACCTTTAAAAAATATATTAACAATTTAAAACTTAATTCTAAATAAAAAGAACCAACATGCTTTTTATTGACTACAATTAAATGTTCATCAAGAAAAGGCAACCATGAAACGCGTTATAACGAATTAGATACAGTTGATAATTACCCTAGTAACAAATCAAGAAGCATGAGAATTTAACACCGTTTAGTGTGTTATTTTCTGCATCTTTCGGCTGCAAAGTATTGTCCTTGTCGTTATAGTTTGTTTAAATATTAATAGATAATTGTTAACTCCTATAGATTCCAGGGTTGCCGAACTTCTTCTTCATCTTATTTATATCTTTATTAGCAAGGATATCAAGTATTGCTTTGCCATAAGCTGCCTCCGTTTTCCTTTGTCCTGTGCTAGGTGAGGAGCGGTCAGGGTGCTGAGAACTATCATCAAACCATTGGGTAGTTCATATCAGTGGTCAACCCCCTTGGCTTTTATTTCATTAATAGAGGAATATTCTTTTAGAAAAAGTAAAACATTTAAAGTTTTTTCAGAAGTACAATGTCTGTAGAACACTATATATATACGATTAATCTTATAGGACCTTTATTTAAAAAAACTGTGTTTTCGATGTTAAAAATGTTAAAAAATGTAAGTTTTTATCATATTCTTTACAACTCTGTAAAACTGTGAAATCCTGTTTTCCACTCGTGGGGCATGGGGCGAACACATTTCTGTGTCCGTTTCATTGATCCGTTCTTTTAACGGACAATACATAGTTGATCAGACTTCTGCGCCCTGGCCGACCAAAACAATTATTTTTTTTGTTTCCCTGGGCTTCGAACCCCGGAACTCTCGCGCTCAACGCAATTTGGCTACGGAGGCGGTCAAACCATATCTTACCGTTTCTATAACATTACAATTTATGACATATTCTTATTTTTATCTCCTGTGTTTATATAACATGCATTTATAACAATATAGAAAGATAATAATTGAATAAATTTGCCACACGTCGGGAGCAAATTCTCAATACTCAACCGAAAAATCACACACAAGATATGGTTTGAAAACATTAATATTTTGAACTATGCACATGAAGGCACTAATTGAAAAAGAGCAACAGCATGGAACGACGTCCTGAACGCTTTTTTTTTTAGCTTATGAACCTAGATAGTATACACTGTCCCGTATGTGTCTTGAAAATCATGATATTTATATGAAATTTCAATCAGTAATGTCGTGTGTTCACTGTCAATCAAATATCTAGGTCAAATACAATACACTCATTATCTTCAACTCTTATTATTGCTTTATTAATAACTTATTTTTTTTTTGTCATTTTTCACACATTTTATAGAAAAAGAAAAATCATAATATAGCTTAAGGTATACGTCCGTCGTTGTAACTATCTAGGATATGTATACAAAGGACAATATGGATTGGTTACTTGGGGCGTGGATAACATACAAACAAAGTACAACAGTGAAAGTCTAACAAAGTTTCAATGAGTGAGAATTGCAATTGAGTATAATTTCAAATCGTCAGCAAACGTATGACAAAATTCAGCATGATTCATGACTTCAGGTAGATAATTTATCCACAGTGGTGGCTGTATGTACCTTAAGTGTGCTCGAGCGCTTAACCGCGAATTCAAAAGACTCAAAAATTACAATATTTTACTTCATTTTTATTTTTAGATTATCATATTAATATTTATTATAATATAAACATATAAATACGTATAAAAAATAATTTCCCATTATGTTTTGAGCGCTGGTCAAATTGTCGTCGTGCGGTCGCCGAATCGCATGAGGACTGCTCATATAAGTTGTATGAGGTACAGTTCTCTGCAAACTTTTTGGCCGGGCTGAAGTTAGCGCGACCGCCATCTTGCGCTTGGAACTGTCAATTTAAGCAAAAAGTCGAGTCGAGCCGCACCCGCGCACCCCTTTGTCGCAACTGATACCTGCTTTTTGCTTTCTGCGCAACCATTCGCGTTTACTTCAGCCCGGCCAAAAAGTTTGGAGATCACTGTACGAGTCAAAATGCCTGACGCGTGAAAAAAAGATATTTCATAGAAATTGTACTGAGAAATTAACCATTTCTTAAGCGCCACATGGGCAGAAGATTGCCGAGAGCACCCAATATTTGACGAATTTTAACAAAAATGTGATTTCGCTACAGAAAAATGTCGTCGCATTGATGTAATGTTTAAAAATAAACATATTTTATATCAATAATTGTTGTTTTGTTGAATTTCCTCACTTGAATTGATTGGTTACTTACTGATTTGGTAAATACATAAGTAAAGTGCACTAGCAATTCGATAACCACTGTATATCCATAATAAGGAATTAAGGAGGGACAAGCCTTGACTTACTCCAGAGTTGAAATGACAGAGTTCAGGCATGTGCGAAATCCCGTTTCCTCCTCATGGGGCATGGGGCGAACACATTTCTGTGTACGTTTCACTGAACCTTTCTTAAGTAGTTGGTCAGACTTCTGTGCTCTGCCTGAGCGAAACAGTTTTTTGTTTCCCTGGGATTCGAACCCAGGACCTCTCGCGCTTAATGCAATACGTTAAACCATTTGGCTAGAGAGGCTTTCCTTTTTTCAGAACCAGTTCCATTAAGTTGTACATAGTGGTACCGTTCAGAAAAATGACTATATTTTTTATATACCTTTGGTGTGAAGCCAATATTATAATAGTTTATTCAGGATATTCTTGCGCTTATAAGAAAATAGGGTTCCTAAAAATCGGTGTTTTTGACAACGTACTTAATATTTAAAGCGAAATATTATGGATTATGTATTTGTTCAATTACTATTATTAAGAACTATACGATGATTAAGAACTACACGAGACATATTCGGTCGCTATAACTTTAATTTTTTTTTAACTTTAACAAAAAGACACACATTAAGCCAGAAAATGTTTATTTTCTAATTATATTACCGTATATATTAACATTCGTTTTCAGTAATATATTTTAATAAACAAATAAGATTTTATGTAACAGCCATGCAAGAACAACACATTGGCACTGCCATCGGTTTGAGCAGAACTTGCTTGAAGTCGGTACTGAGAACGAGCATGTTCCTATTTTCAAACAGCTGAACACATTCCCCATGGAAGGGATTATTGAAATAAATAAGCCTCGAGCAGGGCGCTCCGTGTCCGCCTCTGAAAATTTAACTTTGATAAAAGAAGATGCAAAATTATAAAGCAAGAATTTGGAATAAAGAATGACTGGTAAAATAATAGACCAACACCGAAAAGTTAGATACTAAGAATTGTGTTTTTTTCAAAGATCGACTAGCAATTGACTATTTTGGCTTAAGTTAGTTAAAGATGTATTGACATAATAGATACATGTATGCCTAAGCAAGGAAACGAACGTTTTGTTTGAGCGAACAACACCGTAGCGATTTTTTTAAATACTTACAGACAGAGCTCTCCTCTGAATTTTTGTACCCCGAAAGAGTTAGAATTAAGTACCACGTACCACTGATAATTAACATCTCTTACTGCTTTAGGCCGAAAGAGCTGCAAGGCGAAACAATTATTAGATTTTTGAAACAGGTAATTTTACTTGAATCTTCGATTCAGTACTTACCGTTGGCCGCAATTCACACAGGTCGTAAGCTTCTTTAATCCTACTTTCTTTGACTTCTGCATCCTGATTGAAATGTACCTTGTCGGATAACTGAAACACATTGATTAAGTACATATGGTAAAACTCAAACTCAAAAACGCTTTTGTCGATTTCAGGAGTTCATAAGACACCGGTAGCAGATAGAAATATTGGAATATTATTAATAATTATGAATAACTTTTGACGTAAACCTTCAGAATAGGTATAGATTTTAAACTATGAGTTATATATTTGTTTTTATCTAACAAAGAACTACTTTCCTATATTTACGGTCAATGCCACACTTATTTATTATTTTTAAATATTCTTCAAATTTTATCTTTTGATCAAATCATCTCACCAACTTATCAATAATGTCGTCCACTTCTTTTTCCGGGAAATCTGGAATGTCTTCGCAAATACCCGACCTGTGACATTCTTCGGAAATTGTCAGTTGGACTTTTTCCCCTAACCTCACTTCGTATAAAAGTACACCACCTGTGTTTTAATAAGAATACGTTAAAGCAATATAAATGTATTACATATATAAATACATTTTATATATGAATCCATAACTGTTAAAACAATCAAGAGAATTGATCATCTTAACGCTAAAAACTATTATGTAATAATAATTGCACAAACCTTTTACTTTTCGGGGCCTTACTTTAGTAACTTCTGCGCCAGATATTACTTTCAATGCCTAGAAAGGTCACATAGAAGAATATGATTAATAAGGCTAATTATTAACGGTTAGTGAATTTCAATCCCACTAGATCCAAAGAGATTCCTAAAATAAAAGTTATATTTTTCTTTGTTTTGTTGTAAAATCTGGTGGTAGGAATACCAAGATTTTGCATAATACATTTGCGGTGCATCTTTTAATATTATATGGAAATGGTATTACCTTTCATCGAGTGAACACCGTGCTCGTCCGTGTGTCACGAAAAATCATCGAGAGACGAAGAATCACAATTATCAAAATATTTTTTTACTCAGTCTGTTACAATATCTATCAGTTATAGACAACGGTGAGTACCCCTGTACTACCCTTATTTTTCATTATAGAACACTATATTAGATTCGTTTTGAATAACTAAAATATGTCTTACCACTATCCACAAGATTAAAATGTTCAAATAATTTTTTTTTTTCATCATATTTTTTATTTCCAAATATTTTATTCAACACTTCCTTTCTCTTGCTCTCAGTTGTGTTGTAATAATTAATAACTTCGTTAATATTTATATATGAATGGATAGGACAGCCTTCGCTAATTTACAATATAGAGACTTAATTTATAGTTTCATAGTTTAAAAAGCCTGATAACAATGCAACGCTAATCGCGTTTAATTTTGATGACCGTTTAACGAATATTTTTAATCGTTTAATTTTAGAGCGTTGACATACATGTACGACAGCACGGTACTCACGAGCAAATACAACTAGTACCATATTTATAATATTCATAAATACTTCTTGCAAGGTCCAGAGTATACTTTTTTTTAATACTTATTTATACAGTATTTTCTAGTAAAAGTACTTGTTATAAATTACTATTTATTCTGGCTCCAGTAAAAAACATTAAAATCGTAATAACTACGTAAAGAAATCCGATTCGCTTCTGTACTGGCTATAATTAATTGTTTATCAAGAAATGGGAACCGTGAAACTTGATATAATTAATTAGACATAGTCAATAATTACCTTAGTAACAACTCAAAACTTATTTGATTTTCATACCTTTCGGAGTTTTATTGAGCGTTTAATCCTTCTTGTATATTTCGGGCGCTAAATGTATTTCTCATATATTTGTTTCGTGTTCAATATTTATATTGACCATGGCTGTTTAATGGAATTTTTTTCTCATTAGGACTCTTTGATGGAGAAGATTGTTCGACCTGACACATCTCATATGGTAATGGTAAATTTTAAAAGCGTATATGTATTCATAAAGAAAATAAAAGCACCGAGTTTATAAACATTACGACTAAATTGTTAACTAAACAAGTCGTAATATTAAATTGGAATTTCACATTATCAATATATGTGATAAGGTTTATCAGGTTATTTAAAATATGAAACCATTAATTAAGTTTCTATATTAAATTAACAAACTTAACGCATATTAGCATAGTTATTATAATTAGTTCAGAAGGAAAGCAAGTGTTTTAAAAAACTAATAAAAGATGAAAAATATTTCAGTAATACACATTTTATTTTTATGGATAACGGTAAGATAAATCGTAGTTATGAAAAGCTGTTTCTTTGTAATTAATAAGATGTCTTTCCATTCTGAGAATTTTCTACTTTTAAGTTGTAGTGTATTCCCAAATAGTATATACTCACTTTTATATCAAGATATACTTATCCTTTCTAGGCACTGAAAGAAATATTTGGGACAGACGTTATAAGTTTAAAACCACGAATTTTAAAAGGTTTGTAAAATGGTTTCTAATTGCAGTAATTGATAATTGTATAAAATTAAGTTTTAAAGTTGTGCAATAATATGTTTTAAAAAAAATCAGATGGTGTACCTTTATACGAAGTGCAGTTGGGAAATAAAATACAACTGACGATTCCTGAATCCTGTCACAATTCAGGTATATGCGAAGACATTCAAGATTTTCCGGAAGAAGTAATAAATGAAATAATAAATAAAATGGTAAGAACACGCAATAATACAATTATATTCTCTCTGGTGCCATCAAATTTTTAAACAATATTTCGTTGTGTATCTGGAGGACGTGAATGCTTTAAAGCTTAACACATTTTTCAACATAAAAGTTTTTCCACATTCTGTAAACTAACCAATCCATTATTATTCCAGGTAGCCGATAAGATATATTTCAATTACGACCAGGAAAGCACGGAATCGCTTGATGGACTCAGGGACACAGTAGAACTTTGTGACTCTAGACGAGTGGTTAGTACTAAATGGAAGTTAAAGGAAAGATAATGACGCCTTTCCAAATTTTATTAAACATTTCACCTTTTAGCATCTTCGGCCCAAAGCAGTGAGAGATACCGATGATCACTGGTATCTGGTACTTAATTCTAATCATACAACTGTACAGAGATTTAAAGGAGAACAATGTCTGTAAGTCATATTATATACAGTTACGTTTGCTTCATCGTGGGTACCGACAAATTTTTGTGTCTTATTTGCTGATAAATTGTTTAAATACGCAAGTAGTTATGAGCCCTGCTCGGCAGAATATATATTCAATATTATATCAACCCAGTATATATAATAGTATTTCAACCTGAAATTATCAGTCCTTAATTATTATACATAATTAAATATCTTGTTTGATAGAGGCGGTTTAAATGCGGACTGTTCGAAGCTAGCTAATTTCCAAAAAGGCTTCAAAGGACAATGTATTCAGAAATATATGAAAAGGAATATGATGGTGCTTAGTAAAGACTTCAAAAAAGTTTTGATCAAAGAGTTTCCAGTGCCAAGCTGTTGCTCTTGTGCAGCTGTCAGGGTTCAATAAAATGTTAGCTTATCGAAATTCCAATATATGTTGCAAATGTATACTGTTATTTTTTTTTCTATTTCCTTATTAGTAACCAATTTTATTATGACGGTATCTATATTAATATATGAAGCTAGAGAGTTTTTTTTTGTATGTCTGAACGCGAATTTTTTGTGTTGGTTAAAGCATTTATTGGAAACGGGGAAATGATCTAAATAAATGCCCGCGAAACGATATGTCTATCTTTTAAGGTTAACTTGCAAGACCGATGGGACGCGACCGACATTATGGGTAACCGCTTTTTATAAAGATGGAAAGGTAGTTTGCAAAAACAATTTGCCACTCAAAATAACTATTCTTTGCGGACGAAGTCGCAGACAAAGCTAAATTTAACATAAAATTGCAGTAAGAAGTCAATCTTTAGTTACCTTTTTAAAAAAACAACTTACTAACTATTTAGTAATTAGTAATGTTGTGGTTTCACCAATCATAAATTCAGGTAATTTATAATTGGTGAAAGCACAACATGTAGGGTAGGAAAGTGAAACACACTCATAGTTGAATATAATATAATTACATTATTTACAACTTAGCCTATTCATTTATATGTTTTGATTGTCACATTTGCCGATCAATTAACGATTTATATTATGTTATTGGCTAAAAACTTTTGTCCATTTCATTTGTATAGCAAAGTTTGCTTGGCGTGTTGAGAAAAATTAAATAAAACACTTTAACGGTTTAAAACGCGATATATTAGTTAAACTTATTTGAAAATGATTTTTAACTTCGGCCCGACGTTTCGGATGCTTTGCAGCAGCCGTGGTCACGAGGAGACGGCGCTTTAAACCGTTAAAGTGTTTTATTTAAATGTGTACTACTCGCGTAAACTATAGACAGTGTTGAGAAAAGACAAAAAAATACATTGTCGCCTGAACAATATTAATAAGGATTTTGACACTGTTAGTCAGTACATACAGATCTCGAAGCATAACTAGGATGAGTAGACGTAGTATAAAATGTAGTTTAACATTATTTTAATGCATTTATTATTAAATTCTAATTTTGATACTTTACGAACGATGGTGACATGTTTGTAAGATGCCTGTAACATCGACAGACTTCAATCTTTTGTCAAAATCCACTATCTTGACATACATAGATAGTATAAGCCATGCCATTGTAAAGCAGAATTTGGTTCTTGTTGAACAAAAAAGGTTTTATTACAACGTCGACATTTTATTCAGACTAGAACTATTTTGGTATATCACACAATTCTAGCGACACAGGAACAGCAACTGGGTACTTGAAATGGTCTTTCTATGACTTCGTTCTTATCGTTCAAAGCGATCATGTTACGCAGGACATATTTTTGGACACACCTGCCTTCATAGCCTTTTTGGAAATAGGCTATAGATGAACACGCGCCGTTCTCACCACCCCTGAAAGTAAATTTGGTCAATTATGATGCACGTCTATGCGCCTTTGTGGCTTCAAAGATTAAAGTTGGTAAGTAATTGCTTCCTAGTTGATGGTTTGGAAAAAAATATAAATTGTTTCACACAAAACACGCACAGACAAAGAAGTGTCATAAAGCGAGAAAGCAGTTTTTATTTCAATCGAATACATCTATATATTAATGGTTACTAAAATCGCCGACATATAAAAATTAAAAAAAAAATGAAAACAAAATATATTTTGAAAGAATTTGCTTTAATGTTTGTATAGGAATACTTTTTTTAGACGAAAACTTTTAAATCTATTTATAATAATTAATATTCCATAATTATTTTTATGTAACAGACTTAGCAAGTCGTCTGATAGGTCTGTCTGGTAAAATAATGAGGGTAGTAGGAAAATATTTGTAATGGCACAAACCTGCAAATTTCAACTCGAAACGTCTGTCGGGGTTTCTGTTTGTCGTTGACAATTAGGAACCAGTCTTTGTTTATGTCTTGCGCTACTTTTGGTACAAATATCTGAAATATACGCACACAGTTATTATTACAGTTTTCATAGACAAAATTGCATTTTCCTTTAAATACTGTCTATAGTTTACGCGAGTAGTACACATTTAAATAAAACACTTTAACGGGTTAAAACGCGATATATTAGTTAAACTTATTTGAAAATTCGGAGTCTCCCCGTGACCACGGCTGCTGCAAAGCATCCGAAACGTCGGGCCGAAGTTAAAAATCATTTTAAATAAGTTTAACTAATATATCGCGTTTTAAACCGTTAAGTGTTTCATTTAAACATTTTCCTTTAAATTTATTTACTATAGTCGTTTGTCGCGCATCATGAATTAAACCCCACTAAACATAAATATCTTATTCTGAACATATAATTGTGTAATAATTCGTCATTGTTTTTTTGTTTCATTACTTACTACAATGAGTCATAGAATTATTCATTTAATTATGGCTATAAAAAATATATAAACGGCCAGTATACATAAAATATGATTACTAACAATTATTTTGACTGGCAATTTTTTTGTCTATACATTAAAATCCACAGAAGACTTTATATCGAATAGAATTTTATAAAAAAATGGAAGGCACGATTGGGACTGGACTATATCATATTTATTCATGCATTCAGCATAAAGACTCTGTGGCTCTATGTTAAATGCATAAAGGTTCGAATCCCGCTTGTGCCTTAGATTTTTTTTATTGGTTTACTTTATTACCTAATTCTAATGCAAGCGGTGTTCTTAGCCTATATATGTTTAATATATGAAAATTTACGCATATTTAGGTATTACTTTAGTACTATGTTAACTGCAGTAGTGGTATACTTGTTATCGCGAAAGTATATTTTTAATTAGCCGTTATCGCACTTGGCAATTTACAACTAGCGAGAATAAAATAACGCCATAGTGATACTGAAAAAATCTATTTGCATGTGAAAATTTAAAAGTTTTCAAATTTAGGTACTTTTAAAAATCGTTCCGAGCTGTTGCTCGAAACACTGACGATGCCGGTTCAAGTCCGGCCCGAGTCGAAAACTTTTTCAATTTATTTTCGATTTTTAAAATTATATAGTGCCTTAACTACTTGTGCAATAACATGTGAAAAATAAAGTTTTCAAATGTAGGTACTTACTTTTTCTGTAGAAGAACACAACTCTATTGTCTCTTCTTCAGGCCCTATTCGCTCAGCGATTTGGGGTGGTTCTAACACATCTTTGTTGAATTTCGTTATGTTATCTCTTTCAATCTTAAACAAACAAAATTATCTACATAAAGTTAAGATCCAAAAGGGTCGACAGCGCATCTTAATTCTATATTAGACATGGAATTTTAGTACTGGAAGGTAGTACATACTTTAGTATAGTTTAATTTATTATTAAGCTGAATAATTTGTTTGTTTGAACGCACTAATCTTTGGGATTACTGGTTCGAATTATGTTCTTAAGCAAGACGAAAGTTTGTCATGAAGTTACAAACATAAAATTATAATTATTTATTTCTGCCTTAATTCGTGAGACACGACGGAACAATGTGGTCGTAGGTTCAAATCCAGCCAGGGCCATTAACTTTTTCGACCTAATAGTGAATTTTAAAACAGAGTGTTACTTTTGTACCTCTTGGATTACGCTAGAGACGATATCTGTTGGATAGTTCGGAATATCCTCACAAATGCCGAGGGTTTTACATTCATCGGGGATTTGCGAGAAGAGGTCAATGCCCGATCTTGACGTGAGATCGGGGAAAACGATACTGCTATCCATTACTGAAATATAAAAAATAACTATTAAATGTATACTTAGTTATTACTACTATATTATCCTATGTGAAAAACATTTTGAACGCCAAGGCAAACGGTTCTTAGTCCATTTCACATTATATTAACTTTCACAAAAAATCGACCTTCTGTACAACAATTGATATATATAGTTCTCCAGATTCGAACCACAGCTTTTCGACTTTATAAAATAAGTTTATAATTATTTTTGATAATTATTATCAATAATAATAATTAAATAAGAATGCTATTGAAAACAGTGTCTTAAATTAACAACGGTTTTTATAGAGCGACAAGTTCTAATTTCTTCCCATGCTTTAATTTTCTCGTGAATATCTGAATACTCTTTCAATTTTTTATCATAAAGAGCTCTTACTCTTTTCCACTTTTTCTACTAGACCATCATTATCAATATCGTCTACGCGAATGTTTATTACGTATCAACAGACGACGAGAGTGACAATTTTGTCGCCAGTGCTATGAAAGCTAGTAACGGCGCTGACAGTTTCGTCACGGGCTTGTTCGCTGGTCGGCGTACACAAATGTCACCCAATTGTAACGTCGTAACATGCGCGCACTTATTCACGGACTTGACCAGAGTGACGAAACAGTCACCGTGACAAAAATCACCAGTGCGCGCTAGGTCTTAAGCCAAGAAGATGTTTTCAACACGAGGATCGCAAAATAATTTTATTTTATCTAGACGCATCAAAAATCTCATGGTCTTCAAATTAGACTTACAAATCTGTTTTACGTCATATAAGATAGGCTTTGGGGTTGGGAAAGCAGTGACTATTATTTTTTCCATATTATAGACCTAGTAATATTGACGTCATATCATTATTAAGGATGTTAATGACTGTCAACATTTAATCTCAATGCTACCGATATAGTATGTGCATAGCATGGTGGGGGTGTCAGTGTAGTCTGACAGATGTTTAGTTTAGTGATGCGTAGCCATGGCTCTGCCAGACATGATATTACAAGTAGATTTAATATATCCCAAAACCATTCTTTAAAGGTGATATCCCTATGATATAGACAGTAGTATCAATAATATCGTATTAATTATTAATAATAAAGTAAATATCGCAATAATATGTTTTCTTATAAATCCATAACAACATTAAAGAGAACAAGATGTATGCTACGAGAGTATCCAAACCCTAGTGATGTGGTAATGACAGATTTTAACGTCATACGTCTGTCATCCGCACCATTCTACAGAGTAGAGATATTCGCAGTCTGTTTAACGGTTGGTTACCTTTAATCAATAACATTATTTGGTGAAATTGGCTTATAAAGGCAAATAAGCTTTTCCATAATTTACATGAAGAGAGTTTACCAACCGCGTCTATTAATAAAGGGCTTCACAAATCTATTGAGGATTTTATACGTGCCATCAGACTCGATCGTCGGCGACTTGCCTCTACGCCATTCTGCATCGTCATAGCTTTTGGTACATGTTATCTGGAACAAAATATGTTGTCATTTATAATGCTTGCTCTGTGACGTCTAAACCTAGTTAACGATTACATAAATTATTAGCATATACTGATGCTAAATCGTATAAGTATTATGCATCTATTAGAACTTCATTATTATTTGTAATCGATAACTTTCTACTGACCTTGTGTGACCATTAATATGACTTGGTTAAAGACAAAAGAGTTCATACTCATACATAGGTGTAATCAAATGATTTCTCTTCACTATGACTAAATAGGTAGCAAAGCGATTCCCGTTTTATTATCCCGGGTATTTTTTGTTATGACAAAGAAGGACTACAATGAGGTACAATGGAAGGTTAAATTCAGTTTCTAGTTATGATTCAACGTCGCCCATTCACAGCTGGGGTATTTGATAATCTACATACTAAAACTAATACACAAATGAACACTGAACGGTGAACGGAGTGACGTAGAGATGTGACGCAGAGGGAATTTCGCTATTCCCACCACAAGTTTAACATATAAGTATATTAATACACATATATACAGCACAAATTGTTTTATCCCTTTTATAGTCAATAAAGTGTAATAATTTAAATATTTACATGTTTTTAACTCATTAGTTATTTCTATAAAATATGTATGTTTACCAAATATTAAGTATTTATACACAATCTCAAATTAACAAGCGTTTTTTAATTTATAATTTCCACAGTCCACGGAATTGTCAGTGGGCTGTAAAAAATTATGTTGTATCAATTACACGTCTTTCTGTTTGTGTTTGTGGTGATAAGAAATAAAGCAACGAGTTAATCTTACAGTACCATATCTTATATCATGTAAAAACGTTCCTTATTATTATACTATTGACAAGTAAGGTTCTTAAAACTATTTTATTAATTAGGTTTACGAAATCTCTCTCGTGCTAAATCTGACCTGATCACCAAAATCATAATGCCCTATAATTATATATATACATTTACATGTACAAGAATATGTAGACCCAATTACCTTGAATACACGTCTCAAAGTTGCTAATGAACCCGTAGCCAAGAACTAGTATAATATATTCATGATACATAATGTATATCAAAAGAAAGTGAACGCGCGTTTACTTTCATCATTCTTTCATATTGGACACGTTAGAGAGATGTGCGAAGTTTATCGTGACATGTATGTACATACATTGATATAAAATTACAATATTCAAGTCACTTTGATAACATTATAGTGCTGTTAATCTTTGACTGGCTTCATAGATTAAGTGAGAGGTCCTGAGCTCGAATCCAAGAGGAACGATAAATTGTTTCGATCGGAAAGGGCACAGCACTTCTGTGTGTGTCTGTTGTTCTGTCACATATCTATAAAAAACTATTTGGTCCTTGTACCAGGGGAGAACGTGTCTTCACCTATTATTTTCCTCCCTATCTACGTTATTCTAAACGCTATGTTACGTAGAGTATACATACAGTTACTGCAATAAAATTCCGGATTTAAAAAAATGTATTTGAACTTTGAATTTTAGCTGACACTTGTATTTTATAGGTAAGTACATATTTGTAAGCATTTTTTCATTGCGTTCCTATTTGGTGTAATAAATGAACGGTTGCCGAAAATTATATCAAGTTATGGATTGAAAAAAAAAACACGACATTTAGACGATCATATTATTACCTAGTAGGTATTTGCGTAGCTATGCAATCTAGAATGGACACGTGAATTCTTCATGTTGCTTCTATCATGTATATTATTATCGCATCAAATCGTGGCAGTCTCTATAATAATACTTCGCAGTTATTGCAAACGAGTTTTTGGTTTATCCAAACTATTAAAAGTAAATACATGCCTCGCCATTTAGCGGCAATTCAATGGAACCTTGATAAGACGTCGTTCTCTTAGGTGCTTATGCATTGGTAATATATGGTTTTATCGATTGTATGATATATAAATACGAACCAGATATATCCAAATTAGATATTTCCAGGCCATAACTTCAAATCATGTTTCCACTTTTATTTATCCATTGGTAATGTTGAACCACACTTAGACCTTTATATTTTGTGCGAAGACAAAGTATAACAACAGATCTCACACATTCACTTGTTACTACGTTCGAATGACAACTGGTAGGAATTGACCGGTAGATGCCGAAGCAATTACCAACGACCACTTTATCTTGAACTCTACATTATATTGTTCATCATGGAAGTATAGTTCTACTTGTTTATATTTTATGTTTGTTGGAGATCATCTATGGCCGGTTATATTCTTTAGTTATTTCCATGTTTAACGGTGTGTAAACAATATTTTTGTTGTCAAGTTCAAAGAGCGCAGGTTTTAATCTGGCAGACTGTAGTTCAGAGGTCAGTATTCATACCAAAGTTGACTATAATTTATTAAGCATGTTAGACATAATTAGTGGTAGTGGTGGTAATATGTACTTTCAGTAACGTTTATAGTAAAACGTATAGTCTTAGACCAAACAAAGGTTGAGAGCTACTTTTGTAACGTCTGCCAAACCTTTATATTGTGGGACTCATTATATATATGGATCATAGCTTGTTAATGATGATTAATATTTAATTAGACGATTTAATTAGATTTAAATGTGTCGTCACTTATACATTTAGTTATAGTTCCCATTTGAGTGAATAAAATATTTTAATTTTGAATAACAGAATATTTTACAAATAGGTATAATAAACTCAAGACGCGACGCATTTCAGCCGTTAGCGTAATTACTTAACAAAAGTCAATTAAACTCTGATCTATATAAAACAGAAAATGAAAATATATTATTCCGAACACGTAGACATTTTATACGGAAATTATATCCTTGGACTGTATATATCTCTTGCACCGAATCAATAAGGAAGCGAAATTTCCGATGACGTGTTTCGGGTTACAGTTAAGATATCTTTTTAGTGTTAATTAGTAATAATTTATGATACTGCATACTTTGGTTTCCAATAAACATGACCCTTATTTTACACGGTCGCTGACTGTCGATATTTCTAGCCAGAACAGTAAGTTTACATATTAATTATTTATACAATATTTCGTTTCAGTTAAACGCACGTTTATGATGAACTTTTTTGCTGAACCGTTTAGCTAATGGGTCGTGACTTCGATTTCTACTTGGTTTAATGTGTATAAAAAATATTATATTCCATGTCTATAGTCTATAGTTAGTACGCGAGTATTACACATTTAAATAAAACACTCATTTGAAAATCATTTTTAAAAATAATTTTCAAATAAGTTTAACTAATATATCGCGTTTTTAACCGTTAAAGTGTTTTATTTAAAAACTATTATTACAAACTAAATCTGTATGAGTAATAAATGACTCCCGGGTCATGAATTCCGTAAAGTATTTACGTACGTTTTGATTTTTTAATTTCAGTCTAGGGATTTCCAATGGGAAAGGATCACGGAATACGTCACATTCCATCAAGTAAACTCCAAGCTTGCCTGTTGTTCTCTATCATAAAAAACGTATAAAGTGTTAAGAATAAAACTGGCCGGAAATAAATTGTTTTAAAAAATTAACCGTACAGTCCACTAGTCCAACGTTTTACGTGACATTAGACAGTCCTTAGGCGCTAAAAAGTCTCTTATCTTTAGGGCTTTATCTTTGAACTGAGTGCCCAACTCCTCCACTAGTATGTTAAGCACCCATTTGGCAAACTTTTTGTAGTTTCTAGGAAACCTTTGAAAGCCTCGAACACTGTACAGTCCTTACAAACCCTAAGCAACGAAAATGAAAAGTGCGGAGAGAAAATCTAAAAGAAGAGAGACAGACCAGATGATCTATGTATTATTTTCCTGGCATTTATTTCCTGAACAGGCACTAATAAATATAATGCAATGGCTATGAATAATTTTATCTAATCATGTGAAGCAATAATACTTTTCACATGTTATTGCATATGCTGGCATTATATACATTGGCGCTAGAGGTGCATGTATCAATAGGCTAAAAATTCGACGAAGACATGTAGAACACGGTAGGTCAATTGGTAAGATCAACAGCACGGAACGCTGTGAATGCCGCTTCAAGTCCCGCACGTGTCGTTCAACTTTTTAAATCTAGAATCGATTTAAAATTCATGTGAAGTAAATTACAACAGACAACGTGTTTAAGATGCAGGTGCATTGTATTTACGCGAGTGGTACGCATTAAATAATACATTTTTAACGGTTTAAAGCTCGGATTATAATACGTTACCCGATTTTAAAGCGACCCAACAGTTTTTAAAGCTTTACAGCTATATATTTCGCACTTTTAACTGTTAATAGTTTTAATATAATATAACAGCTTTGGTAAGTAATATAGATATCAAATAGTGTAGATATCAATAGGTTTTCAATATTATTTACATTCTTCATTAATTATTAACTATACATACATTTCTTTTAAGTCAACGCACTTAAGTGTTAAGAGTGAAAGTTTGCGAAATCTCTATTTTATTTATACTTGGAACCTGTTTCGCTCTCTCTGCGCATTCATTAGTAGATATGTATAATTGTAATCGTATAACTAACTATAACAGACTGCATTAATATATTCTAACGCTATGTAATAAGTGATCTGCGCAATTTTCCTAGAAATCGAATAGAACTATGAATTTTGCATTTGAAATAGTACTTATGGCGCACAGTGTAGTTAAGTGCTTTACAAAACGTCCTAAGACCAATTATTGTTATATAGTCAGAATGGTATGAACAAAAACAAGCAGACATATGTTTATACAAATCGAATTAAGAACCTCCGTTTTTGAAGTCGGTTAAGAAATGGTTTTATTGTCATAATAAATATGTAGTTATTTTAATTTCACCGAGCACTTTTCAAGGTGGAACGTATTGCGTCCTGGGTTCGGATCCCGAGGAAAATTTTAATAAATAATCCGTTCTCTTAATTTTAATGTTTGTAAATATATATTTTGTGTACATTTTCTAAGTGCCTAGACGTAATACATCAATTCCAGTCAAATTATTTAATGCATTAGGACATACTTACTTTGTTTAATGTTTTATAAAATATTCAGTGATTTACGTGATGTGTAGGCTAGTTTTTCCCATATTTATTTAAGCATGAATGAATAAACCTTCATACGACTTAGCACCTTAAATTCTACAGTTGAAAAAACCCGAGACGCATTTTTGAATTCGTTTATAGGGGCAGAATTATAAGCAGTATATATTCTACAACCTGTGTCAGCGACTTTGTCTGCTTAGAATAGTAATTTTGGAAATCTAAATTTGTTTTTCATCTTTTATAAATTTAAGCTATTACCTACGACGTTGGACGCGTCTCTTGCAAGTTAATCTTTAGAAGTAGACATATAGCGTCGCGGACATGTTTATAGATATTTTTACAAAATAACTCTTTTATACATATTGTTTAGGTATCCTGAACCGTTTTTGCAGCGTACGCCTCGTAAACCCATAACGATGAATCATTTTCCCATTTTTTTTACATTTCTCGCTGTATATTCGCCTGTATTAGTCTACCAACAGAAAAATAATTTCTCAATTCGAACCCGTAGTTCCCGAGATTAGCCCGTTCAAACAAACAAACAAACTCTAGCTTTAAATATTAGTATAGATTGTAAACATTTAGGATTTCACGCACAATCTTCACGACATAATCTTGTGGTGTTTTCCATTTTGCTTCGTCGGGCTTTCCTGTCTATAGTAAACTTTTAATAAATCTCTTTCCAGCAGGTAAAGAAGGAATTCGAAATTACTTGAGTTTTGAAACTTATTAATTCAAGCTTTTGACACTAGTTAAAAAAAATGTGCCTCGGAATTGGTGATTGCGGGTTCGATCCCTACAGGTGTATTTTTTTCTTCAAATGATTATTTAATGGTTAAGTTATTAAAGGTTAAAGGTATAATTGGTCATGGCTTATCGATTCTTAATAATTAAATTTCGTATAAGCAAATTTCTCATCAATACATAAAAACTCATGTCTAGGAAAGTGTGGGTAACATCGTGGAAAACTTATTATTTCAACCAAGCTTCTAGTTTCGCATGGTTCTGTGAAAAATAAACAAAATAATACCGCTACTTCGCAGTACTCAAATCTGCTATTTAGAATGTCTTATGCACAGTTTGTTATTTATATTATAGGTAATATAGACGTTTTGTTAGCTCACTTGTTTTATGGACATGTTTATTGCAATGGCGTCTCGATGTCCTGTCGCTGGCCTGTCGCTATCATGTCATATGTAAATTAGCAGAATTGGATCCCAGACAAACATAAGAACTGCAATTTTTAGCTTCATTATTATGATAAGGGAAATAAAACAAAAGTATGCTATTACTTAGAAATTTTAATACACATTTTTGACTAGTTTTACAAAGCATTATTGTTAAATTATGTATACATTCCTATCTTAATAAACAATGAATACTAAAGCTGTGTAGATGTTTTTAAATTAGTTTAAGCTCGCGGAATAACCCGTGGCTTCGTGAAGAGCAATCACAATTCACAGCGAATTATAGTTTTTCGTAAACATTTTAATTCATAATATGTAATTACAACTAACGACAGAGAGTACTTAACATCTGTAGGATTTAAATATTATGAAAAATTATTGCTATTTTAAAGATATAACGTGAATATACTATATATTCGAATATACTTATAAGTAAACATAATAATTTTAAATCTCAGTTTTAATACAATTATTATGTAATATTATTTATCTCGTTGTGGAGTAATACTAATTTAATATATTTTATAGATTTTTTACTAAGATTACTACTTGATTATTTAATTAATTAATAATAAATAAAAATAATTTAACAAGTTGCCCTTAAATATGGGCTGCATATAAGTACTCTTATTCCTAAAATGTAGTAACATTTTTAAAATTACGAGCATTGATTAAGACATGCACTGTATGAGTCATGCTTATTCCTGAAAATTAAGTTATATCTCGTAAAATATCACGTGCGTCATCACTGGTTATCTTAATATTATATCCGCTTTAGCGGATGCCGTATTTCGGCATAGTTTAACCCAATTTTTATTTATTTTACGACAACATAGTATGTATAATTTGCTATAAAAATATAAGTTTATAGTATTCTATACGAACAAAAATACGCAAAAAAAAAAGTATATAAACTTTTATAATCATTGAAAACTTTTACTTCTTCAATCATTTTGTAGGTTAATATTTTTATTTATTATCTCAGTAAAAATATAAGCATAAGTAGATATAGGCGTTAAGATTATTCGATCTTACTCAAGTCGTCAGTACGACTACTGTACGACCTACGGTGCTTGTAAACAGATGTAGCCGTGCTGGTCTAAGGTACAGGTAGAGAAATATTCCATTGTGAAATATCATAACCTGGTCTTATACAGGTTTGTAATTGCACGTACAACAAACAGGTAATACTGCCTCAATTTTTTCTGGCTCGCTACCACCCGATTTACTATCCACCAACATTTCCCAGGTGTTGTACTTCTGTTGACAGAACGTCTTGAACGAGTCCTGATACTCAACAATTGGTTTGAAACAGGAAGCTTGTTCGCTTCTATAACAAATAAGTATGTTAAAATTGTTCTCAGTCATTGTTACTTTATGAAATGAGGATTTTTTTTGTAAATCTGTTTCTGTGTTCAAAGCGTTAGAAGGATAGATATAGATAATTATACGTAGACTGGCAACATCAATTTCCTTTAATACTGTAGTTGACGCGAGTATACATTTAAATAAAACACTCTAGCGATTTAAAATGCGAAATGTATTAGTTCAACTTATTTATAAATTACGTAATTACGACAATGTCTAAAGGAAACGTCGAGCCGTAGTTAAAGGTACATTCAGTTTCGTTTCTATTGCCAGATAATAACGAAGATAAAGCAGGCAGATTGTTAGTAAATTAATTTTAAATGTGCCATAAATAAAAAAATAAATAAAATTAATTCCGCTTGATTCTAATCTCTGACAAAGCTTAATATTTATATTGAAAACTTACTTGCACGTTTCTAAGCGAACACGCTGAATATAATCCTTTTCAGGTACCTGAACTACGTCTCGCCAGATGTTTGTACGCTTTTCCCTCACCGTGTATAGAGGGTCGAACTGAAATAAAGACCATATAAAAATCTAAATTTAATTTTTAACCTATTAAAAAGTAACGCCTATAAATTTAAATAAAACCCTTTTTAACGGTTTAAAACTCAATAAATAACTTAAATACATGTAATTACGAACCGAATTAATGTAATTAGCGTTTTAAGTCGTTAAAATAATTTATTTAAAGAAATAATATTTACTTTGTCAACTATAATTTAACAAAGTGAACTTTGCCTTATAAAATAAAAAGTATATTGTTAGATATTGATTTTGTAAACATATCGTTTACCTAAAAGGGCCGACGCGTATATTTAAAATAAAACTTTAACAATTATATTTCACTTTACAAGTGTTTTATTTAAATGTGTAAATAGCAGGCAATACATTAATGTGTATTGTTGTTTAAATTAAATTAATAATTGATAAATAAATAGTTTTAAACTCAGACTACAGCCGACAGCGTAGGCGAAATTTACGAATTGTAGAAAGATTTGGAATTGTGGCTGTAATTATACACATTAATAGTAAATATTTTTTAAACTGTTATTAGGCAAGTCTTTACTCCTATGTTTAATTTCCTTGATGGATCTACTTTAGCCTATATAGGTATACAACAAGAAAACCTGTTTGCGACCTTGTCATTAACATTTCCGCGTTGTGCATTAATTAAAAGAATTAAGTGCATTAATAAGCGTCGAACGAATAAAAAAAATATCCTATAGTTTTTTTTTGTCTGCTCACGAACAGCTTTCTAAGCATCAAAAAATATCTACTGTTTACTTTAATCAAATTCTAAGCCTTATATACAATTTTATAAATAATTTTACTTAATTTATATTTCATGTATACGTGTTACGTATACGTAGTTTAAGTAAATATTAAATGTAATGCTTTTAAAATCTATTTTATTTTTAAGGAAAATTTTTTTTTTTCATTTTTCACACTAATGCTACGACACCTTAAGAAACTATATAAATATTTTGAGTTTGTGTGACTCGATCAAAAATAGGGAAGTTATATTTTCGTTAAGGTTTAAAATAGAGTTATTATAGTATTCATGATTTACCTATTATAACAATATTTTCTCACTAACTTAATAATTATTAAAGAAGAGTGTTAAAATAAAGAACTGCACGTCGTTTTAAAATATCTCTTCGGTGTGTATTAATTCTTAATATGAAACTAATAATAATTAAAAATCTGTATACTACGAGTAAACTCATAATTAAACGGTTTTATTTAGCTCGACCCGGAACGGAATTTATTTATTTGGGTCAAAATTAGAAATTGTCAGATTGATCTGAAATTTGGTACACACATTAAATTTATATGAAAATACAATATAATAGTATTATAAATCTAAGATGGCTGCCGATACAAAATGGCGGATTACATATTTTTTCTTAACCCAATCGATATCAATATGGGTATCAAATGAAAGGGCTACACTAGTAAAACACGACGATTATGTCAATTTTTTTTGTAGTTTTCAGTGTACAAAAAATAAAACCGTTTAAATTAACAATTGGTAGAGCAACAGCACGGAACGCTGACGATGCCGGTTCAAGTCCTGCCCGAGTCGAAAATTTTTTTTAATTTATTTTCGATTTTAAATTAAAACCGTTAATCTTAAAAGTTTTTTGTCGATTCTTATTTTATTAAATAAGGATCTTTAAACTCGATACAATACTTACAGACACCTCCGTTTCGCAGTCATCATGGAACTCGCCCTGCCTATTATTTACATCGATTGTCATAATTAATTTTGGCTGTGTTATAGCTTTCTGGAAAAAATACGCACAATTTAACTAATTTAGCTATTCTCCTCTGCGCATAATTTTAAGAAATTGCGAATCAAACATCGGTATCTTTTATATTTATGGGTATAAATTTTGCACAAATATAGTTAGATATATTAGTTCCCCTATTTAATATTTTGTTTGTAAATTTTCCTATAAAACGAAATCAGTTTAAGAAAGGCTACATTATATGTTTGTCCTTAAATATGGGAAAAGACACAAAAACATTGTTTATTTGGGTTTGGCTTTTTCTCTAATTAAAAAAATTAAGATTTTCAGTATAAAATGAAATTGTGAATGAATTGTACAATTTTCGTTTGCTTCGTATAAGTAAATTATATTAAAAACTTACGTAATTCTTGAACAATGCGTTAAATTTTTTAGCTGGATAATTTTTTCGTCTCTTCGTGCAGTAGGTAAGATTTCTACAGGATTCTGGAATGTCACTCTCTTCGACTCCATCTGGAAATTGTATTTCACTTCGCTTTTCAATGCCTGAAAAGGTTTCGGGTCTTTTTATAACTGTAATGGCATATGTAGAGCACTCAAACCCCCGACAAACAGCGTACCTTAACTTTGCTCTAAGAATTAAGCTGTTATGACGTTTGTGTTAGTTGATTAATACAATAACACAAACGTCATAACAGCTTAATTCATATTATAAATATTTAACAACTTAAATATGCTTTACTACCGAAATAATGGCGACTTATTTTCTAGGTAACATAATCTACACTAGTATTATTATAATAATATTAATAAATAGTATATATTATAAAGCTAAAGAGTTTTATTTGAACGCGTTAATCTCAGAAATGTTTCGAATTAAAAAAATATTTTTTGTTTTGGTTGGATTATTTTTTGAGGAAAGTCATAGGCTACAAAACACGAGGCTGCGGCCTGTAGATGCGAAGAAACAGTGAGAAATGTGGATAAACGGGGAAAAATATTCACTTACGAGGGCTTCCGTTATGTGCTCTGCGAAAACGTTAAAACATTAACGTATAAGACGTAAAGAATTATTGTTCTTTAAATGATCTAAAAATTGTCCGCGAGAGTATACGTCTATCTCATGCGATTAACTTGCAAGAACGACAGGATTTGCACTATTATTTATAAAGCTGAGCAGGAGGCAAAAATAAATAATATGATGGCTAAAATATCTTTTCCACCCGGACGAAGTCGCGGGCACAGCTAGTAAATTATATAGAAGAATGAATAAATAACTCACCACCCTGAACTCCTGTTATAACATGGCAACCGGCTAAGATCTGTAACAAAGGATTGAGGTATGTTTATTCTTATAAAAAAATAATCATCCGCTTTGTAATAACCGTGTTTTATTATTGATTTATGAGTACCTGTGGGTGATTACATACAATAATTGATCATACAAAACATAAGTCATGACCAGGAAAATGAGAAGCAACACGTACCTACAAATCATAATGCACTGCAATATTTACATAGATGGAATTATTGTTAACGTATTGCTACTGTATTTTAAGTTAATATAAAGCAGTTAGAAGTAAATACTGAAATTCAGTTTTCACACATAATATGCATCTACATTCAGAATTTTAAATTATTATATAGGTGCCTAAGTAAAGTTAAACTTTTAAGAGCATTAAATATGGATGTATGTAAATCATACATACAAACAAAACCATATGACCAAAGAACCAATACAGTTAATGATTAAACAAAAATTATAAAGTAAAAACGTAGTTTACAGTTAACATCTTTTAATTGTCAAATAATTACTAACGTTAAATTGTTGCTAGTATTCTAAATTACGTACATTATTAATTTCTTCTATTTGATTCATACGATAAACAGTACCAATAAATTTTTATGGGTATATTATAATACGTTTCTGATTATTTACAACTAATACGGATCTTTTCAATAAAAAATAATTGTAACATATATTATCTTAAAAGCAAAACATTTTTGTTATCGTCATAAATGTACCAGACAACAAAGTCAACCGGTTAACGTTTTTATAACTTGTAAATAGCTAGACGTTTACTTTGTTAAAATCAAACTTAGAACACGAAAAACCACTTACGAGCAGTACTAGCGGAAAAGTCTCCATTTTAAAATAATTTCACGTATAGATCTGCACAAATCACCGTTTATTCACTAGCATTAACGAGAAACCTCCACGATGTCTGAATGTTAACTGAACCGGCGGGAGACGATAGATAATAAATTTATATGAACGAGAGAGTAACCTGAATGGATTAGAGTTATACCACTAAACAGGAAAACAGTCATAAAGCTACCTACGCTCCTTCGACATTAAAGACTGAACAAATGGTAACTACTTGTTATGATTCTTGATGCGTACAGTATCCCTGATTGTTGTACGTTTTACGGTCTCTGCTTTACTGCCAAGAGTCTTACTTTACCCATTACTGTCATGCGATTACATAAGCTCTATAGTAGAACAATTCAATCCCCGGAGACAATTTTGCCCCCCCCCTAAAAACATTTATTTCAAAAATACTTATACTTACAATAACTTACTAGTTCATTAATGTATGTAAATTTCAACAAGATTTAAAAGTTGTCTGTGAAGAGTATGTGGCATCTGTGTTTGTATTTATCTTAATTAGGCCGTGGATCAAAATTTTAATATTTGGTATAGTGTATTTTCGATTATATAATTTATTTTGAAGCACTGAGGTTATAATATCAATTATAAAATATTTTTTTGCATAATATTCCACAGGTATGATTAATCAAGAGATTAGATTATATAACGTATAAATAGAATACCTTTGCGATCATAACACATAAAAATCTATATAACTGAATGTAACATTTCTTGCTTTTAGTGTGCGCTGGTCCTTTTAAATGCAGTGAGATATTTATTTGTAGAAAGCCCTTGCGTCTCTAACGCTTTCATGTAACTTAGATGTTGGTTCAACAAATTTACGCAAAAAAAAATATCTGGGTACTAACTACTTTAGAATGACTGATTTCATTACTTTAAGTAAGATATTCAAATATAAATTTCCTTATTGTAGTTGAGTTTTATTTAAAACTGAAACATTTTTAACCGATTTTATCTTAATGTACCAATATTTCAAGTAGGGCGATCATTTTTTTTGCATTTAAATTTTTTATTAGAAAATAAGAACATATATTATATAATAATTATGTAAAGTTAATAAAAAAGTAAAGTTAAAGTTTCTTAAACCCGTAATTGCTACAGTTATAGCCAAAGGCGTAAAAAATCATATGCATGTCTAGTCATTTACATTTTTTTGCAAAATTTTGTTACATGATACATGAAATATTAAAATTAAGCATTTCTTTTTGTTATAAGTATCATACATCTTTTCTTTTACGTGGCATTTTGACTGTCAAAGTTAGATGTTACAGGGCTAGGGTACCTACCTTCCATGTGCTTTTAACAAGACAACGCCATGTTTGTCCTGCTTTTACACAAACACAACGTAACGTAGAGCAGAGACATCTTTGTATCCGTTTGTTTGATTTTAAATATGTAGTTAAATTCTGTGCCCTACCCGGCTGAAATATATTTTTTAGTATTGAAACTCTAGGCTCCCTTTCGCATAACGCAATGCTATGCAAGCCCATTACACGATTGAACCACAGAGCGAAAGAACGCGATGCTGAAATAAAATAATATTTCGTCGACATTTTATTACCTTAAACACGGTTATAAAACTTGTGAGTTAAAAGAGAATCATGTCACGGATATATCACGGACATTTTTTGATAATTTAAATAAGAATAATTTAACACATGTTTTTGTTTATAACTGTTTTCGCAGCGCATGCTACAGACTCTCAGAGATTGAATTTATCCCGTTTCCACATTTCCCTTTGTTCCTTCGCTCTAATTTTTGGTTACCTGATATTTTATAGCTTATTCGAGGAAGGTGTTTAACAATCCAACCAAGTTAAAAATATTTATTTCAATTCAAACATTTCTTCCCGAGATTAGCGTATTCAAGCAAACAAACTCCTCAGCTTATAATATTGATATAGCTTAGGCCGTGTCTTAATTTTGTGTTCACTGTAAGGCTAACTTTGAAGTCAGAAAACATAAACTGTACTTACGTTATGTTACAAATAAAAAAAAATTGTTTGTTCTAAGGCAGAGGATATTTTGTAATAAATTTACTCATTACTACTTACTACGCAACAGTTAAATGAAATTTACGAAAACTACATGTATATTAATAGTTATTAGATTTAATTGTTGATGAAAGGTACAAAAGTTTTCTATTGTCCGAGAATAATTTATTGTGACATGCAAAGAGACGTTACAATAAATTAATTCCTGCAGGTTGCGTTCAATGCGTCATAAACGCTGTCATTAAAATTAAGATAATGGCTCGCAAGTTACGACGCATTGTCGCAAAGTACTGTTGTAACCGACACATCCAATAATACGTTAGGCAAATTTCAATTTTAACACTGACACTCTAAAGGGTAGAATTTAACGCTAACATATTTTTTCCGCATACGCCATGCCCTGATTCCGCGAAAGATTGATGTTGATATCTGCAACGACACAATAATTTTCAGAATTCAAGGAATCTCATGTGACGAATTTATTTCAAAAACATTGATTGCTGACATGTCAAATGTATAACGAATATATTTTAGAGACCGCAGAACATAAAAGTTCCCGAAATCGCCTTTATTTACTAAAGAAACAACAATAATAAAAATTTGCCAATAAGCCAATTAGAACAAAATTAAAAAAAAAATTACTTTATTCTCTTTAAAAAATATTTTCATTGGTCAAAAGAATAAAACGATGATACGCGTACCTATAGGATCTTTATTCAGAGAGTAAAATTTTATACTGTATCCTTGGGTCTTGACTCTTGTTAGTATCTGTGAGGCTAAGATTTCGTAATGTTCGTAGTTTCTCTAAAAGTAATATTTGTATTGTAATTTCCTCTGGATCGGTATCATAATAATAACTTGGAGGTTCGAAAATCCATAGTTGCGCAGCTCGGATGTGGTCGAGGATATGGCCTATTGGATAACGGATCACTTAGTTATGTGGAACGCGCTTACGTAAACCCAAACGTACAAGTATCACCTTCATATTTACATCAAATTGGCCCAAAATTCGATATTGACGTAAAAGAGTATCATGCAATGACTGATCATTTATTTATACACATATATACCGTCAGTCATTTGTTTCTTTTTATGACAGAGTTTTATAATCATTTCGCGTTATATTTTTTTTAAAACGCGAAATATATACGTTAAAATTATGTACAAATTATTTTTGAGGAGCCTGGCCACGGCGATACTGACCATGTTTGGTGTAAATAAGTTTAACTAATATAATATAATATTTCGAGTTATAAACCGTTTTATTTAAATGTGTAAATCTCGCGTTAACTACAGACACTATGCAATCAATAACTTAGTTTGAGTGGTACAAAAGACGTTAAACATTTTGTCTGTTTTATCCGCTATCAACAAAGGTCTCCCAAATCTTTTCCATTTTTCTGCTCCAAATGGAATGGCTATTGATAAGTCATGAAATGGATTTAAATCTATGTATAATATTAGTCAAACGTGAACTTTAATAAGTAATTAAGAATTGGGATGAATCCGCTTGTTGCCCGAATATAAATTTACATAAAAAGATTAATTTTTCCTAATACTTTGAGTAACTAACAAGCGTCAAGAAAGATTTTTATATTTATGTACTTACTATAATTCGTAAAACAAAAGAGTTCAGAGCGTCTGGGCAACTAAAAATATTCTTATTCCGTTGACGCGCCGTCACACGTACAATTACTGTTTTTAAGAAAACAGATTTTATACTAGAACTAACTAGATTAAAGAGTATACTAAAGGAGAAAATAGAGAAAGAATTCCCAAGAAGATAAAATTTTGTAACATTAATGCAACCGTATTAGATGCGTAATATTTCAACTTTAACCTTAGAGTTAAATTACTACTGTAATTGGCAAGAGGATTGTAATTAATTAATATATTTGATAATGCACAATTTAGCAAAGAGCGGGGATTGATGTTTAAATAAAAAGAAAAAACACCACCGCAGCCCGGTGAGAGTGACAGCGACCGCGCGCAAAACGAACGCACCGCGCATGTGAAAGTTACTGACGTATATTTTGGCGCCAAATTCTTTCACAGATAATAAATTTATTGAACTCGATAATCGAATTTATTTTAATAAAACATCCTTGCATAGATAAAAAATATTTTATATCAACTTCGTGTTGTGTTAAGTGATAGTGTAAGTGACTTTCCCCGTTACATAGCCAGTGCAGGATGACTAACACACGTAATATAAAGGTGAGCTATGGAAAACTAGTATAGGTAATAGCTGTTAAGATTTAATATAATGAAAATTTATATGAATTATACCTACTTATGTTATTAACAGCCATTACAAGGAAAAAGCATTTTTTATAGTACCTAAAATTTTTTTTATTATTATCCATTTATAAGTATAAAAAAATATGTACAGGATGCTTCATAATATTAGACCGTTAAATAAGTTACTCACTGTCGTTTTTTTTATAAAAGGAACTAAAATAACTAAATATATAACATATATCGGAAATTTGAAATAAAACACTTCAAGTGGATCTTAATAAAACAATAGTTAATAGCTGCCGGTAATTGTAAGGAAAAATCCGTTGAAAGTAATTTCTCTGTCAAGAACAATCGATCTCAACAAAAAGCTGTGTAGAAGTGAATTATTAAGAAAGCATTGATCTTCACACCATACAACGGTGATACGGATATAGGATGACATAGCATAGACAATGTTACGATAAGATTTTTCTATATCTGTAGTATCTATGGGTGCTTAAAAAGATTAACTTAAAGGAATCCAAAGTTTATAAACGGAACCCTGTTACTATGATGTTGTTCTATTAGATGAAAACTGCACAAAAGTTTATTAAAATACAATTCTGTGCAGTATGTACACTTAATATTAATTTTGATTTTAAATACTGTCATCTATAGTCCTTCCATATTATCCGAACCCTATCTACCCCGGTTTTATAAGCTAAAGCTAGAAAAGATAAGTCTCTCCAAAACGTAAGGGGCCAATTCTGGCGCATCCGACTTAAGATACGGACGCGACATATAACATCCAATGCGCTGTCGGTGAAATGAGGTCAACTACTTATGCAAGAAGCAATTAAGTAAGTCTTGATTTTTACTTAAAGTTTTCAAGTAAAAGCCCTTAAAACCTCAAAGGATTTAAACGTATAATTAATTATACAAAAGCAATCGTGTGTTATGTTTATTTTAAATCAAATAGACCATTAAAAAAAAATATGTTTCAAGCGTGTTGTTTTCAAGGAAGTGTTGGTGACGCCAAATTTTTTGTGTCCTACTAACTGATGAAGACGAGAAAATTGTAAAAAAATGGAACACAATAAAGCTAAATAGGAAACTAAAGATACGATGTTCGTTAAAAAAAAATATGACACAGAAACCATTTGAGCTACCGTGTTTGTTAGAGCAACAGTACGGAACATTGAGGGTGCCGGTTCAAGTCGCACCCGTTTCGTAACTTCTCTTAATCTAAAATCTTTTTATTTTATATAATGCTACCACGAAAAAACATTAAAGTTTTCAAAGCTAAATAGTAAGTTTTTAACTTTTATTTAATAAAATACGTTTGTCTTATTAAGTTTTTATAAAAATTAGATGTAATAATGAATTCACAATTCTTCATTAATAACGAATATCACAGAAGAAACGATAAAAGCTCTTTAATGCCTGGATAAACTTTAACATTTTTGCCGGTCCATTTGTCCCGATCAATTTTGCCACGAAACTTGCACATGCGCCTTATTACCTAATCTGAAATTAATAGGATCTTAACCACAGCTTACGAAACGTTCGGAATATTTTGACCGCAATATGTAAGACCTCTGTCTATAATCTATGTATCCATCTATACAGCTAGTGACAGTTTACAGTCGTAACTATTACTAGCACCAAGAAAGGCGGATTATCTATATATATAGTTGTATATAATTACTATGTGTAAAAGAACTTGGGTAATACTGAACATAGCATTTGTAACATTGTTGTAATCTTGGAAGCAAAGGTATTGTCTATGGATAAAATAAAGAATTAATAGACACCATTACGTTCAGATTTTTATCGCACTATATTACTCAATTGAAAAAGAAAAAAATTTATCCATTGGGATGACTTACAATAAATAAAATCTTAACAATTATTATATATCTAGGTCCTATAAAATTATTAAGTACCATAAGTGCTGTAAACGCAGTTTAATAGCGGTCAATGACTGGCGTTAGTGAATCGGTTTTACTTTCTGCGCATGGGCTTATAATAATACCATAATATTATGGTTATGTCGTGTACAATAAGGTGTAACTTTATTTAAGGTCCATATTGTATCTGTAATATGAAGCATTTTATGTGAAAATGAATTTTAAATTTAACAATCATAAGTCAAATCATATTTTGATAATTTTTATCATCGATACAACTGTGCCTTAATTGAAATTTTTAACAGACCCTAAATACATTTCCCTTTATGTCGATTGAAGTGAGAATTTAGTATCGTCTACGGTATACACATTAAATAAATAACAATAACAGTTTAAAATGTGAAATTTATTAATTTATTATTTTTAACTATGAACTGAACTTCTGGATGTATAGTCTACGCGTATAATGCGCTGATAACGCTATCAGCGCATTATATCGCATAATGAGTTCTTCCGTCCCTCTAAAGTTATACAATAAATCCTTCGTCTTCCGGTTCACGAGAACCACAAACATTGGTCAAATACCACAAACGTATTGCGTAAGGGAAGATAAGATCTACAGCGGTACAGCCAAGCGTGAGTGTTTAACTCTGAAACTAGTGTTGTTTTATGTAATACTTCCCGGACATTTGTCATAATATGTTGCGTGGACATTGAAGAGCAAATTATATCTTTTGGACGACTTGCTTAAAGTAAAAAAAAAATAAACCATAGATAAGCAACAATCAGTTAAAAAAGTAGGGGTTGATAAGTAGTTTTGTGATGGTGTTAGGATTACCGTTCGAAAACTTTTTTTTAACACATTATTATGCATATAATGGCACAAATAAATTAATAATCAATTATAAATTGACGACACGGGCAGGAACGGAACGCTGTGAATGCCGGTTCAAGTCCTTCCCTGCCTTTATTCAATCCATAATTATTGTCGTAAACTTAAAAATGTGTATTTGTAAACTTGACTACGCGCCGATAAAAGAAGTCGAAATCTGCACAATAACTTTATCGTTCTAAGCTATCTTGAGCACAAAGGATAATTAGTTTAGTAGTTTAGAAAAGTATAATTAAAATGAATTAACCAGTAGAATCCGAAAGCAGATTTTGTAGCATGCAGAATTTCGAATTAAGTAGGTCGCGAGTACAAAATGAAATATGTAATTAAATAAATGCAGTGTTCTCTCAACTTTAATGTCATAGACCTCACCTGTTTGGTGTTGAATGTAAGACAGGAAAGAAAGCGGATCTTGTTAAACGATCGCGCGGAGTTTCGAGAAATGGGCTTGGCCAATTATGAATTGATTCACCAGTTTATTAATATCAAGATTTATCAGAATTTTGGTAAATGTATGTACGTGTTTTATATAGAACAGGAATAGTTATTAAATTCTGTCTATAGTTTACGCGAGTAGTACCTACACATTTAAATAAAACACTTTAACTGTTTAAAACGCGACATATTAGTTAAACTTATTTAACAATATTTTTATTGGCCCGACGTTTCCGAGGCTTGCAGCAGCCGTGGCCACGGCTGCTGCAAAGCACCGAAACGTCGGGCCGAAGTTAAAAATCATTTTCAAATAAATTTGTCTAATAGTTTCGCGAGTAGTACACATTGAAATAACACACTTTAACGGCTTAAAACGCGATAATATTAGTTAAACTTATTTGGAAATGATTTTTAGTCTCCCCGTGACCACGGCTGCTGCAAAGCATCCGAAACGTCGGGCCGAAGTTAAAAATCATTTCCAAATAAGTTTAACTAATACATCGCGTTTTAAACCGTTAAAGTGTTTTATTTAAAGGAATAGTTATTTTATTTATTTATTTACATGAAAAAAAAACACAGTACAATATAAATCATAAAAGATGGAACACAAACCTATTCAGGTTTTTCCATCCATCCAAAAGTCGATACAGATATTAAGAAAATAAAAGTCTTAAATGAGGTATGATAAAAGTGTGAAATCCTGTTTTATCTAGTGTGGGGTAATTCTAAGTCCTAGACGACTGTTTTTATGATAGAGGAGGACGCATGACAGAGACATGTTAAGCCGTACTTTTTACATGACATTCGAAAATTCACAGACTGTAACCGAAACGCCATTAAACTTCATGGCTTTTTGCCTGTGGTTCGTAACCCGCACGGAAAATCGATATTCCTACCACATTTACAAATATAAATTGATAAGAATCATGTTGGTCATCAACTAAGTGGGAATCGAATCCACGACCCGTCGACTATTAGCTATACATTGCTACCATTACACCAATGACCCATTGTCGATTGGGAAAAAAACTTTATTTTTACATGCTTTTTATTCTTACCTCCAGTTGGCTTTGCAATGGAAACATACTGTGTCAACAAACCTTAAACCTATCAGTAAACTGTCGTACAAGCGGCAATCTGCAATCACTAGATTTAGCCAACCGTATGTTTTTGTAACTTGCTTGAAATGATAATACGGCGATTTCCGTTAGGACATTTTTAAATTGGCTTTACATGTTCAATGTTAAATTGATGTGCAATTGAATTTAACATAACCAATACGATAGGAAATTATTATTTTTTATGACTTTTAGTTTTATTCATTGTAGCAAAGCTTAATCGCTTCGCTATCTTCATGTTAGATGTTTGGCGGGCGTTTATTGAGGAATTGTGATTGAAAATTTTATTGTTGTGATATGTTTAACTAACTATTAAATCCTTAATGCTAGTGTACGGTTAGACATAAAGGGTCCAGGATCTTGTGGATTGTATATTGTGTACAGATACGTCAAAACACTTCATATACCGGGATTTACCAATTGGATTGGATTGTGGGTTTTTCCAGTAACTTTCAAGTCGGCTTATACCAAATATTATACAACCATAGTTCATTGATACAAACCGAAAAACAGTAATTATTACTACCGCGAATAAGTAATTAATAATTATGTTTTAAATACTCTCTGTAGTTTACGCGTAAAAATTTTAAATAACATACTTTTTAACGGTTTGAAACGCGAGATATATTTACTAAACTCATTTACAATTTATGTTAACAACGTCCCGAAGTTTCAAATGCTTAGCAGCCGGGATCACGGGGTACATTTCCCGTTTTAAACCGTTAAAAAAGTAAAACACTTTTTTTTTTTTAAACCTATCATTTAGTTAATAAGCTACTAATTCAATTAGTCAAGTTTATGTTAATGCTTCGAAAAGTCAAAAGTTTATATAAGTTTTATGAATCAAACCAACATTAAACATTAATAGCGTGTGCATAACATTGTTATTGCCTACTGTATTACATAATTCTGTTAAACATGCAGTTGCCCTACTGTTCCGATTATTTCGTCCGTTCATCCTTTCACTTGCTTATAATTCTAGGCTATTAACAAAATGTTAATCGATTCTGACATTAATTATGTTATTATGTTAGTGGTATGTCCGAATTATAAATATTTGTTATGTAATAAGGATTTGGAGTTTACAATTTGATAGTTTTATATCATCTTTTAGCTGTAATAACTATGTGTATATTTCATATATAAGTGTATGAAGTTTATAATATTTCATATATTGTATAGGTATACACAACGTTATTTAACTTTACTTGAAGGCCATACTCGTCTATACGGAAGAAATCGATGCAATGTGCGCGCGAGCAGAAAAACTTTCGCTTTTCACTGCCAAGGCTTGTGGCAATTCGTAAGTTGTGTGCACAAGACCCAGAACATTCCAGTTTCGTAACACTGTATAAAAATGGGTTTTATCCACGTTTTTAGATAACATGGATAATAACCCATTTTCGTATGGATAAAAAACATTGAATTAATATACCTAAATACTTTTATCACGTTTACGCGATTTAGATAACGTGGTATAATTTAACCCATTTTGATATGGATAAATCGTTTAAACATTGTTTTTTTAAATTAATATACCTATATAATATAATTTTGTATCAAGTAAGAATAATGTGTATAAAATATGTACTTAGTATGTACTTAAATCATTTGATTTCACATAATGTACATGGGAGCATATAAAATTGATCGGAAGGGCTCCACTGGTCGTGGGTTCGAATCCCGCCCATGTCAAATATAATTATACTTTGTGTTATACAATACATGTACGCTACTGTTTGATCCTAAGGTATACCGCTTCTAGGCGGTAAATTTCACTTCGATTTCATACTTCCGCATCTCGTATTATAATATCAACTTGTATTAGCCATTCCGTGTATCTTAACAGATAGATAAGTTAATACATACGGTACAGTTCAAATACGTGCCTGTGTGTATATATCTTTATATTTTTAATTCTTTATTGCACCACACAATTACAGAAATCAAGTCAGTTAAAGAGCTCACTTCCGAGCATATTTATCATTCGAATAAGTTAGTGTTTCTTATGAGGATAATTATTTATTTATTTTCTTAATAGGTCTGGATATGTATAGCCTGTATGGCTTCATCACTGGCTGCGCCTGCGCCGAGTCAATCAATCACCTTCGATATCATCGACATGGCAGCTATAAGCAGAATGACGCCACAACAATTGGAAGCTCTGGCTGAAGGATTAGCAGCTGAAGAAATTATGAGGTGAATTTCTCTTCTATGCTATAATTGCATAGATCGACGAAATAAGGGAGGTCTTCGGGAATACAAAAATATATTGATGATATTTATTTTCTTATCGATAAAGTAGTAAAGATTTCTATTTGTACTTTAACTCCTTCTGAAGCTCGATAGTTCAACGTTTTTAGAAATTCTTTCAGTCGGCCAGGGCACTTACTGATCGAGATATTTCTTTCCATGCCCCATAGGGGTTCTTGTGTCCATAATAAGTAATATTTTTATTATATTTTCTTAAATAAAACGAAATAATTGAGTTACAATTCTTAACATTTTCTTATACAGAACAAAACGATCGTCAGCTCAGGCGTTATCGGCTGTTGTCTCAAAAGCGTCTTCAGGTATACAGAGCAAGGTTGGTCTTCTGGGCCAAGCGTCGGCTGGTGCAGCATCCTTTATTGCCTCTGCATCAAGTAAAAATGGGCATTCGGAACACACTGGATACTCCTATGAGCCGGTAATGCCCCCTTTTTTTAGTTACAATAAACTTATATAAATAAATAAGATTGATAATGACTTATCAGTCTTATGTATTTAAATAGGTAAACTTGATTCTAAATATTTATCAATCATAATTTTTGTGTACCGTTAGTCAGTAGTTGAACCTTAACTTTTGATATATTCGTTTTATTTTTATTGGAGAATTCGAATTTTCCTAAATCAAGGTCAAGAATTATCGATAATTTTATAGTAGAGTGTTTCTGGAGGAATAACTGAATCAAAATTCAACAACATCGAAATTCAATAAAAGCATCCGAAACGTCGGGCCGTAGTTAAAAATCATTTTCAAACAATTTTATATTAAAATATATCACGTTTTATACCGTTAAAGTGTTTTATTTAACTAAAAACTAATAACCAGTTCACTTACAGCATGAAGAAAAGTACGACTACTGGGGTTTGAAGAAGTCAATATTTTACACGCTGTTCCAAGCTGTAAAGGCCATCACTGGGGGAGTGACTATTCTTAAAGGCCAGTTGATCAAGGGTGGAGGTGCTCTAGCTTCTTCTCTCGGAAAAGTTATATCTGTCAAAGGCGATGCGGTCAGCAACTTTGGAAAGAAAATTGTCACCTCCGCAGCGTTAAGTGAGAAGAAACCACATTGTAAGTTACAAACAAAAACTAATATCTTTACATATGTTACGAGGAGTGTATAATATTTTATCTATTACTAGATGCTTAGAAAAATATAAAAACGATAAATTTTATCCAATTGAACGTAATAAAGCTAAGGGTAATAGGAAAGTAACAATTACATTTATTATAATGGGATAAAGTCGTGATACGAACATAAATGACACATTCTTGTTTAAAGATGATAAGTTACAAATTAAAAATAAAATTAGGTTATCAAAATTGGCTGTTACGGGCGAGTGTGGAATCGGCGAGCGCGGCGTTCATAAATAAGAGTAAAGTAAAAGAGCAAAGGGAAATGTGGAAAAACCGGGGAAAATTATTCTGTGAGGGCTTCCGTTGCTTGCGCTATGAAAAGGCTTCATAAAACCAAAAAACTATGGATGAAGAAATGATTTCTATTTAAATGATCTAAAGAATGTCTTTAATAGTTTATATTTATTTTTTAAATTTAACTTACAAGAACGACGGGATGCGGACGACGTCGTGGCTTTAATTTAAAAGATGTGTAGGCTTGCTTTTTAATGTTTACGCCCAAAATTGTTAAAAGATACGCGGGCACACCTAGTATATTATAAAGCAAAAACAGTCGGAAAATAATAATGAATGCTATTGAATACTTTTGCAAGAGCCCGCCTGTGACAAAGGGTAGTTGTAAAGTGTATTACAAAATAATTTTCGTGGGAAACCATTAAAATTGATCCCGCTGACATCTCGTATCCGAAAAGTAACAAAGGTCTCTCAAAACCTACCTCGGATTGTCACAATATCCGTTCCCATTGGAGTCTTTTGTTGTTCAATATTCAATTCACGACCATAATCAAGTAATCTTATGCAAGATCATGAAGGCATCACACACAGCCATAAACATATTTTATTGTCACGAATTACTTAGAATTAATTTAATAGATACGCTGAGTACCTTTTTTAGCTTTTTTAAATATAATAAACGCGTTTAAAAACAGTTTTTTGTTCATAGTGTTTGATGGTAGATATTCTTCTTTGTTATTTCAGCGACGGCAGTATATGGCCCTCCACCAACATCCCACTTGGAATATGCCCCCACGGTGTATGGGGCACCCACAGCGCCTGCCCAATACACTCACTCAGCTCCGACAGGCTTCGCTGCGCATAAGTACCCATCACAACTAGACGGTAACGCAAATCATAATTTCAAGTCATATAGTCTATAATAAAGATCTAGTACTGTGTAGTGTAATACATATTTAAATAAAACACTTTTAACGGTTTAAAACGCGAGTTACTTATTTATACATTATGTTAAATAGGGCTCAAAATTTAGTATATTTAATAAAACATCCGAATAAATTGATAAGCTTAACTAAAGCATTTCGCATTAAATTGATAAAAGTGTTTTATTTAAATTTAAACTATAGATCTATTGTCTTCTTAAGCACTTAATGTGTCTAAAGAAGTTTATTAATTATATGTCCGACTATTGGAAATGGCTCAAATGAAACCAAATTACTATAAAGGTAATAATACTATAAATTTTACAATCTAATTTTTGTGCATAACCATGATCGAACCCCGACCACATTTAAAAATAATATTAACTATAACTTAGAAGCCATACATAGAATAGTAATTATATGGTAAGTTTTGTGCTGGAAGTTAGTGAGAAATTGAAATACACTTAATAGTCCGTCCGAAACATAGAAATATTAATTTGTACTGACAGAGCTAGGATTTTTATTAATTAGTAAATTCTAAGCAATTTGAAGTAGTAAAGTTGCACCTGGATTTGATTCATGTTTTGCCCTACCATGACCTTCTGCAATCCCTATTCTTAAATTAAATACACAAGTTTACAAAATAAGGTGCACTAATTAGAGAGTTAAACACATCTTGAATAAAACACACGTCTTAAAACATAATTTATTCAAATGACTCGAGCCACAGTATCGCGATTACCTTCTTATACTACAGCTCAAAAATTTTTACCAGTTTATAGAAACGTATTATAGTACGTATCCAAAATATATAATTATGTAACCGACTATTACATTCTCTCACGTAATAATTATGTTTATGCATAATTTATCACTTTAAACTCATGATCGGACGTTTTCTGCGAAGCTATAAGCGATGGGGGTAAAGTCGGTTATATACTATATACATATTTATAAGTTTTCTCTGAAATATTTAGCATTCAAATAAGATAAACTTTATATTTGAAACTGTTCATGTATGAAATATTCGCTGTAGTTTACGCGGGTAGTACACATTTATATAACACTTTTAAAGGTTAAAACTACGACCCGACAGTTCGTAACCATGGTTACTGCAAAGAATCGAAAACGTCGGGCCGTGGTTAAAATAAATTGTAAATTTTTATAATTCGTTGAAATTTTTAACGCAACAATTAAAAAAAAATGTAAGCGTAAATAATACTGTAGGATTTTTTCACTCCCGCCTGTTGCATTGTTCTTTTCATTCCATAATATTGCAATTAGAATTAGTCAAACACCGAAAGACTTAGTAACTCTTCAGTCCCCCAAAAATGTCAGCTACGTATAAATATAATAATAAAATAGTTAACATCTACTTATAACAGTTTATTTATGTAGGCCAAAGTTCGTATGACCGGAACTAAGATGCAAAAGGAGTTATGAAACTTCCCAACGCATCTCACACTTATATAACGAGAGATTGTAAAAAACGTTACTCACGAAATTACCTTACCTTACCACTCTAATGAATTATGATGAATACATTCAGATTTTAAAATGCTTCTTTAGTCAAATTATTTTAGACTTGATTATATATACAGCATTGTCTGTAGTTTACGCGAGTAGTGCACATAAAAGAACACTATTAACGGTTTAAAACGCGAAATATATTACAAATATGCTAACGAATATATTTCGCATTTTAAACCGTTAAAAAATGAGTTTTTTTAAATTTAAGAACACTCAAGACCCTCAAATATGTTTAAAAAGTTACAACCGCAAACTATTCGCGTTTCGGTTTCAATCCGATAATGAAACATAATGAGGTCCTTTTATCTGGTGATGGTAGAATAAATTTATAACAATTTTCACGTAGTACAACAATCACTATGTTTTATGATAATTATTTTAACAGACCCCATCGTGGTAGAACAACAAATGGAGAAATTGTATGTAAAAGGAAACACGACGAAACACTTACACAGTAATTGCTAATCAATTTCACTTTTCAGAGCTTATAGTGATGTCATCTGTGGTAGATAACGAAGTTGAGAAGCCAATGCCTCAACCCTCGCCAGAATTAATATATCGTTATTATGACTTATTGAACTCATTTTGGTAAGATTAAAACAAAGATTTTAATCTATTCCTTGATTCTCAGCACTGATTTCTCTAAGTTTTCTCAAAATTTTCAATTCGTCACCAATACCTACTTGCTTAACACAACTGTCATTTTTGACACTTTATATTTTCTCCAGAAATACATGAACATATTATCAAAATCTAAAACGTAAAGTTTAACGATCTAAAAATCTTTCACTGTAAAACTTATATTTAACTGATCCTTACTTTTCTTTTTTTTTACAAAAACACCTCTAATATTATATTTTACACAACACCTGAATCAAACAAATTTATTAAACTACCTTACTGGAGTTTTTTATTAAATAAAGCCTTTTAAACAAGTTAAATGGTTTTTATTTAATAAGTTAAACAAATGTTAAATAATATTTTCATGTTGCGCGTTGATTTTCGATGTCGCACATTAAATATTCAAAGTAGCGGTTTGACCCGACGAGACTGCCAAAATGTAACTTTACGTCATTGACATAACTTACTTTCACTTTTACACGAGAAGACAATACGTTGTAAGCGACAATAGGTGCTTTGCGTTGTATCTATTATTTTTAGACTTAATTAGGCATAGACACGCCTATAAATAATTAATATATAATTAAATACTGTCTATAGTTTACGCGAGTAGTACACATTTAAATAAAACACTTGAACGGTTTAAAACGCGGTTTTTTTGTTTTCCCTTTTTTTAAATCGTGGTCTCCCCCCGGCCGGCGGGTCGGCCAAACCCCCCCACCGGGGGGGGGGTTTTTTTTTTTTTTTTTTTTTTTTTTTTTTTTTTTTTTTTTTTTTTTTTTTTTTTTTTTTTTTTTTTACATAATATAATTAGATGACACCGAGACGGTTAATCAAATTATCAAAAAAGCAGCACGGAACGCTGAGGATGTTGGTGCAAGCCTCGCCTTTGTCGTTATTTTCTTCTTCAATCTAAATTGTTAGTTAAATACTGTCAGTAGTTTATGCGATATATATCGCGTTTTACATCGTTAATGGGTTTTTATTTTAATTATTGTTACTTTATATAGACAGTCGTTCATTTATATACTTTTGGTTTTTTTTTTCAGTACAACCAATAACCCACAAAAGCCCTAATAAGTAATTATTTACTACCTTGAGTCCTAAGTTTTTAAAAGAAACCCACTCATTAAAAAGTGATATATGCATGTTAACATGTTGATAAATTAAGAACGTCAAAGGTAATAAACGTCGAGAAATTAATTCCCTTAAAGTGAAATTCTAATCACATCGTGTTGCTTCGAAATAAAATTAATCGTTACGATCAATAAAGTAACACGGTGTAAAATCTCTATTTATCATAAACCCTTACGAATGTGTACCTATGTTAATATGTATGAGTATACATAATACTATGAAAGTTTGTTACACAATTTTCAGTTAAAGAACCGGAGATGTATTCAGTTCACGTAACTTATCATTAATAAAGACCTTAAGTTCTATGGATTACATAATTGATTCGATATTTAGTACATTATCGAATATCGGCTTCCTGCTTTCACGTTTGTTTGCAGAGAAGGACTAGGGCTGTGAAAAGTAAACTAACTATACCCTATAGTGAGAGTGGATTGTTACATAGTACATAAAATCAATAATAATAGAATCAAAAGCTACTTATAAAAACTTTAAGCGGTATTAAACGCGAAATGTATAAGTTACAAATTTTTTTAACCCCGGAATAACGGTTCGGGGGCCCCCGGGGGCCCGGGGGGGCAAAAAAAGGGGGGGGTCACTTATGTCACAATTATACTTAAATATAATTATTCATATTATTATTACGAACAACAAACTAAGTCTTTTATAAAAAAAAAAATTTTTTTTTTTTTTTTTTTTTCATCGAGTTTTGTTTCATATAAAAATCTGAAATGTTTAAATTTTGGAAAATTCATAATTTTTATTCCCATGTTTTGAATGCATCTACAGTAAGTGATAAGGTCTGCTTTTTGGTCGTATTTAAATATTAATTTACTAATTAGTTCGCGTCTTAAACACTAAAAATTTTTTTTTTTAAGTTTTTTTAATCTTTAAAAAGTAGTTGATCAGACTTCTTGCCTCTAAAATTTTTGTTTCCTAATTCGAACCCAACCTTTTTTGGCTTGTTTAACATTTGGCTAGGGAGGTAACTTGTGTCACTTTGTGTTATAATTCAATTAAATAACATGATAGAAAATGTGTTCGTATTCTGTAAACTTTAAAAGTATAATAATGACCATCCTTTTTTGCACTTTTATTTCAAAACATATTGAATCACGGAAAAAATTACTTTCAACACTTATGTATCATTGTTAAATAAAGTGTCGTTTAATAAAAATGTCAAAAGGACGCGAGTTACGAAACCGTATTCGCGATGCTCAACCCTTCCACGTAGGAAGTGACGTAACACTATATAAATGATAGAGGTGTCAGCTAACTAAAGCATTGCGCAATTACTGACCTACATGACTAATTCCTAGAAAACTATCTTCATACAAAAGTCTATTGCGTGTGGATATTCCATATGTTATTATGACTTAACAATTTAGTCACACAATCCAGAACTTATATTACTAAAAAAAAATGTATACAAAAATTGGCGGGCTTCGAACTTACGACCATAACTTACACATATAATTAAAGGAAATATATTGCTAGGAATAAGCAAATATATTTAGAAGTGGATGAAACGATATCGATATGGACGAGTCGAACGTGTTAGCTTAGTTGGTAAGGATTCGAATACGTTAGCTTAGTTGATAAGGAGTTTTTGAGCGATTAGAGCTTTAGTTGTAGGTTCTAGTACCGTCCTACTCTACTATAGATTTGTAATTTATATAAAAGCCGCACGGAAATGATAATGTTTTAAGCATTACAGAATTTATCATATCTTTTGTGCCCTTATGTAACTAATTAGGGCACAGAAGTCTAATCTACTACTTGTCTGTAAAAAAACTATTCATTGAGATGGATAAAGAAATGTGCTTGCCATAACTTCCTTAGGAAATACCTAAATTAATAATTTACTTTTTGAATCGTGTTAATATTTATGTTAATTTAAATTAGGAAATTGGTAATAAGCAATTTAAATGATAAATCAGTAATGACACTTCTAATTTATGTATTACCCCATTCAAAGCGTCTTAATGATGTAATATTCTGAACTCGTATAAGCATAAAGCACAATATACAACCACTTGTATAGGATTGAATGAGCGTCTTTCAAAATCGTTCAATGCATTTTTGGCAAATCACATTTCTTCATTCTGTATTTAAATGAACCAACTTCTTAGTATTGTCAGTAGTTAGCGTGAGTACAAATTTAATAAAAACCATTTTTAACGCCTAACACGGCTGCAAACCGTAATTAAATAAAAATAAGTTAAATAATATACATAGCGATTTAAACCATTCAAAGTTTTTGAACCAAATTTTTTACTCCATTCTCGTCGTTTAGAAACTTGAACGATAATGCCGGGAACGACGGCATAACGTACAATAAAATTCTATGGATTAGACCAACTAGGGGTTTCCTCTAATTATCTGGTTTTAATAACTGCATTAAACTTCAAAAAGTCGCTTCAATTGATTCAAATGTCGTATGACCTGAATCTTATAGACCACGCTAAAATTATTCAACAAGACACGGTCGAGTTATCACCTCGAAGATTTATAACCACCACCTACTTTTAAGGATTGACTATTGCGTAACACCAAACAGAAGCAATGTACCGAAGCACGTGAAAGGTTGATCCGAAAATGAGACTAGGTCATTACTCTCGTCTGATTGTGACCGATAACAATATAGGTATTGTCAGTAATTGTTAAGTCAGTGTCGATCGTAGTTAGATAACGGAAACGATGTTTAAGATATTTTATATCCGCGGTGTGTCAAAATATGAATCAAATTTAATATGCAGCAATATTTTTCACATAACAAAATCGTTTTTGAAGTAAACGCAACCTTTTAATTAGCGTTCTTCAATAGCTTATTCATTCAGTTCATTAGTTCGACCAATTCATATATTCATGTAATTAGCTCATAAAATGTCAATCTTTAGAAAGGAGGAACAAACATGACATCGTTGTGCAATATGAAACTGACCAATGACGTAACACTTCTACAAAGACCTTTTTTGAGACAGGACGAGGAAAACTGAGCGGAGTTCACGCGGGACTCGTGATATTGACACCACTCGGTGACGCGGCCGCCAGCGAAAGCCATCATCCAGGATACCCGCCTTTGGAGCCCCCATCAATACTAAATTCCGTATACTCCGCAATAAAAGGCGTCTTTTCTTCCGCAGCTCCCACCTCCGACACCCACCTCACTCACCAGGAACCACCACTGTCACAGCCCGTCCCACCGTTTAGACCTATGACTTGGGGAGCTGTCGACTCTTACGGCGAACCAGCAATGGTCGAAACTTATCCAGATTATGACCCCAGAACTCCAAACTCTTACGATTACGCATCGTCAAAGAAATCCGTGGTATCACCTCCCATCCACAGTAAGGGCTTAACGCCTGATAAAATCCAAAAGATTAATAAGAACCTCGATAAGCTTGCCGCATATATGAACGAACACCAAAGATCAGCAGAAGTTGTGCCAAAGTTCAATGATCAATATGGAGACATGTTAAGAAAGGGTCAGATACCCTTCCTTCCCACTCCTGTTGTAAGTGATAACGAGATAGGTGTTTTGCCCGCTGAATTGCTTCCCGACGATGATCCTATAACCTCTTCATCTACGACTTCCTCAACATCTGCTCCAAATGTTACCTCAGATAACAGTTCTAGAAGGAAGAAAGATACCAAATATATTCTTCGTGGGAACAAGATCGTTGAAGTTTGACAATTGACTGATGACTGACTAATGAGGTATGTTGCGACTCGACTCGGACTGACTTCCCTCTAACCTTTACAGGGTTACATATTGCACTTTTCTGACTTCTGATACTGTCACACAACTTAATACTAATAGTTTTTGTTGCATGTGAATTTGGGGAAAATAAAATATGGCGATATATCGCCGAAGTTATGAAAATGTTACTATAATCTCGTATATTTCAGTTTATAGAAGATCATCTTTCTAATAATATTTTGGTACTTTTGATAACAACAAAGAACAAAAAACGATTGCTTCAACGTTTTGATACACCATTAAGCTTATACTTGAATTTCTGTTAATGCCAAGTATCGTTTGCAACCAATAAGCTAATGTGTATTTTTATTTCAGAAATTCCAGAATATAACGCAGTGCTGGAAGCAGAACATTTACAGAACTATCAAATTTAGTACAATAATAATTCTGAAATTATGCTGACCCAACTGCAAGAACACGATATTGCCTGTATTAATATGACGATTAAACCATTTCTTTACTATTTACTTTAGCTGTACTTTAAGAGTCACAGACTAATACCGAATGATAAAATAATAAATAGTAACCATTGACAAAAATTGTGTCTTCTAGAAGTTTTATGAAAGACAATAAAATTTATTAGCTTACACGCAGATAAGGTTCTGTCCAACATTCATATCTTCAATGTCTTGTAAATGTATATGCGATAATATAAACTTATCAAAAACCATGCGCTCCTGCGTTGAAAAGAAATCTGTATTTACAGTATTATTTATTTTATTGATAAAGTGATGGAAAATATCTAGATTTAAAGAGGATTTGTAAATAATTAGGTATTGATCAAGACTTATTTATGTTTAATTACTTGTAAATAAAGAATGAGGGTGTATTATTTGACTTTATTTTTTACCCTTTGTTATAAAAATATGTTATTTAATCGTAAAAGAAATAAGTAAAATTTTATTTTAGCTTAACTTGGAGTTCACTAAGGCTTTGTGTGGTCACCCTAATCATACATTTCTAATCGTCTTTTAATTATTTACCTTAACTCACCACAACTATGGTAACAAAATTATTTATTACAGCGCCATCTATTGCAACTTGATGAGTATTATTCTGTTATACCCTACTCTTTGAAGCCAATAATGATAAAATTAACTCGTGTTGTGTGATACCTACAAAGCTAGATGGTTTTAAATTCAGGCAAGTATATTCTACTACTACACATATAGTGAGCCAAAAATAAGCAAGAAAAATCAATACATTTTACTTATTTTCAAAAAAGTTATTGTTTTATCTATACTAATATTATACAGCTAAACACTTTGCCTGTTTGGATTAACGGCGCTAATCTCAGGAACTATTGGTTTGATTTGAAAAAAGGCTTTAAGATGTAGATCCGAAAATCCGAAGAAAATTATTCAACGTTAAGGACTTTTGTTGCGAGCTCTACGAAAACGGTTCCAAAATAAATGTAGGTAAAAAATAATAATTCCTTTTTAAATGATTTATAGAAGGAGTCCGCGATAGTATATGTCTGTCTTGCACTCGCAAAAAGGACAGGATGCGGTTTAAAAAATTGATAAAGTTGTTTGCAAAAACAAATTTTTATGCCAAACGTCATACGTCAATCGAGTAGTTGATCAAAATAACTAATAAACTAAAATTGAGGCTACGTAAAAGTTTACAGTAAGGCTCCTACCATTCTAGAAAATAAAAGTTGATAGATCTTAACATTATGTGTAGCTTCATTGCCTGCACTTTCCTTATAATACAGCTATAATCATAGCTAAGTCATTACTCAGTTTGTATGGCGGTAGAGCGTGTAAAGTATAATCTTAAGATAAGGGTAAAGCGACAGGTAGTGGACACTTCCGCTTACCGGAACTTCCTTGTACCAATGAGTTTTGCATAAGTACATTCAAGCTAGCTCGTCTAGAATAAAACCTTTTAAATTCGAATTAATATTTAGGCAAGCAGTGTTTTTTCATTGTTGAATTACCTAATCCATACGTAATCAAACACTTAAAATGAAAATCGTGTAACTTTGAAGTTGGCTATCTAAACCTAATAAAATAGGAAAAGTAGTTATTGTAGTCTTAGTTACTTGTTAAATGTAATTTATAACTGATTTAATAGACAATGCTCAAAAGAAAAAAATTGTTCTCGAAAATTCTATTTTAAAAAAATAGCAATACAAAGAAAAGAAGCTAATTTAATTATTATTATAATACTGAAATTGGAAGACTGCGTCGCAATGCAGCCGTAACGCGTGACGTAACAAACGGCCTACCCTCATGTATAAAATTATCAATTTAAAATATGTGTATCACTATAGAATCTTTGAAGTCCAATTTTAAAGTTAATCAATATATTGAAATATCTAGAAATGCCTTTTAGTCTTAACATCTATGTAAGTCTCTCACCTGTCCGTTTTCTGTCCATAACATGCGCGAGCGCAGTGGGGCTCATATAAAACCTAACACTGACCTATTTCAATTTTCATACCGTTGTCGATCGTCTGTAATGCCGCTGAAATTAACAAAGAATAAAATAATTTAGAGATTATTGCATAATTATTCATTACCTGTCAGTGGAAAAGTGAAAAACTGTAGTGGAAAATTGAAATGACTGTAGATCTGTGATTCGTTTATCTGTTTTTAAGCTTTAAAATGGTTAAGGTAAAGTATAAAATATTTAAAATTCGTTTTTATTATATTGCATATTTCAGAGGAGGTTATATAAGTATTATTAAAAAAAAAAATTATACCCTTGCGGCGAAAATAGTCTTTATGTATAGTATTACCCATCCATAAGCATACTGCAATACTTAAGTTTATCGATATTATAATTTATATTTTAATAAGAAATTCAGTTTTTCTTAGTCAAAGTTGATGGGTTTTTACAGAATAGGTAACTAAGTTCTATGGAGATATTATTTTTAAAACCTAAGCTCTATTTATGGGGAGAGTTAAAGAATCTACACCATGTGTTACCAGAACAGCTCTCTTTTAAACCGGTCCGTCTAGATTTCTCATAACGCCTATCCTATGGCTTTAATGAGAAAATGAGCTAATCCAATTCGCTTTAAATTAAAAACGGATGAATTAAAATAATTTACTTTCAAGTTTTCTAGGGCTTAACCGCAACATTTGAAAGACATTTGCGATATCGATAAAATAAATATTATCATATTAGTCGGTCAGTGATCTTATCTGCTTAAAGACTTCTGTTTTCAGTCTAGTTGTATTGTATTTATGTTAAACGTATGTAAACTGATTTAAGTTATAAATTTAAAAAAATACGACTCGGTAGCTCAATTGGTTAGAGTAACAGCACGGAACGCTGTGGATGTCGGTTCAAGTCCTGCTCGAGTCGTATCTTTTCAATTTATATTCGATTTATAATTTATATATTGCTATCATAAATAACAAAGTTTTCAAAATGATTTAAGTTTTTACATCGTTCCTGCTAAAGACTCCTATTTAAAATATTATATTGAACCATTATTATTATATTCTGTTATTGTATTTGCGATGCGAATTAAATGTGGATTTTTTTAAACTGAAAGTTACTATTAGCGGGTAGCCTTTTATGGGGCGGGTCCTATGGTCCTAGGGTTTAGGATTCTAAACCCTCCACGGTCAAAACTTAAAAACAATCAATATGGATAGATTTTTAATTAACTAGAGAACACTTAAGTACAAAAAACCTTTTTCGTGGGTAAACCTTGCATCTAAATCAATCATTACCGCCATCTTTACAGTCATATCGTATCTCATCGAATATCTTTATTACGTCAATATGACCGAGCCGCGATCAGCAGCAGAAACGTAATTTTCTCCAGCCAAACAATTAGAGTGAGAAGACCGTTAACGTTCTGCATTATTTGTTGCACGTCAACGTAAAACACGGTTTACAAGATTTATGCGTTTAAAAGTAACAGTGGTTGAGACAAATATAGAACTATGAAACATGGATAAATATTATATTATCGTGTCACGCAAACGTTTACTCTGGGCATAATTGATATAATAAATATGTTAAGTCTGTGCTTTCTGAAAGAGAATAATTATAAAATCCTTCAGAAGTAATATTAGTCTCAAAACAATAAACACAAGCAAAAGTTATGAATACATTTGGTGATAATTAAATTAAAAACATCGGCAGCCATGATTATGACGTCACTGCTATCCCCTCCACTTTCGTATGTAGGTACAATATAGAAGAATAGGAGAAGAACGTGTTAGAGAAGTAATTAACGTGGTTGCTCGCCAGACTAGTAATCAATTTGATAACTTACCTAGTTCCAGATGAATTTGTATAAAAGACAAACAATAAGGTTATTGACCCATCGTTTTGGTACAAATAATAATATGTGCGGAAATTCAAAATCAAAAGGAGATTTTTATTGATTTATTACAAAGTGTAAATTAACATGAAAATTAAAGAGGAAGTTTGTTATAAGAAGAAAAAGTTAAGGAGTTATTTTAATTTGCAGTAAATTTTAGTACCTTAAGTACTAGCCGTATTTATTGTCGGCAACTCTTTGGAAATATATTTATATTTTTTATTTTAAATTGCTGTTAGAAAAAGTTGTATTGTCTTTTTGTTGTTGTCTGTATTGGAAAAAGGATAAAAAGTTTGCAACTACTATAAACTATAAATGTACCTAAAAAAATGAAGTAATTAAGCAAGTGAAAATGTGCAAAAAAAAAACCAATCGTGCGTTGATCGGTAGCAATTTTAGACGGTTTAAGTTTGTTTACTTTTGCCACAAATTCATCTAGATCGGGGTATAGTCGATTTCGCTACCGCCATCCGTGACGAAGAAGGACATTCACATTGTCTGTTGCATGACGACAACAAATTAAATGCGTATACAAGACAATTTCTTAATGTGAAAATGTTTGAGGCTATCTATTATAAGAAATATCTCATTTTTGAGCCTTATATTACGCTTCACAGTAACTGAAATTTATTATTTAAAGTTTTTTCCACCCTACGCTGCAACCGAAAATTCTGTGTGTTTGCATATTTTAATCTTATTTTTTAGATTTTGTAATCTTATTTAAACCATGTTAAAACTTTGCTTTGTAGACCTTTTTAATTTTTAAATATAAAGAGAAACGTCGGGCCGTAATTAAAATAATTTAACTAAACATTGCGTTTTAAACCTAAAATTAAAAATTAATTAAATGTATTTAGAGATTAATGTATGTGGTACCTAAATGTAACAAAAGAACAAACTTACATTAGGTCGGAATTTTTTTTTTTTACTTTTAAAAATTCTTACAGTGAGTCTCAAGTACTTAATGTATTAATTGTAAGGATAATTACTAGGTTATCTAAATTATGAGCCAAATAGGTAATAAACCAAAACTATCAAATTAGCTATTATATATACCATTTTTATCATGTTCTAAGAATAAATAAATTTACATTTACATAATAAATCAGATAACAGAACAAAGAAAGAGAACTATTCTATTAGACATAGCATTTCCCGCCAAAAGTGTCACCCAGAATTCCATAGCTGGAAAGTCAATGATAGGAAATAACTTAACTCTCTTCTGAGATATACTTAAACGGACCGGTTTGCTTGCATTTCGCAATTTAGCAAAAACTCTGTCTTAGCTGTGTGAATGAAATTTTCTAGAAAACATGTCATGTCTCTCTTAAACGATAAGAAATATATAACATATTACGAACACTAACAGGAATTATTTAAATTTAATTCTAAGGGCTGACCCTGCTAGATAAAACGTGGTGCCTATCGTAGTACCGGGGTTCGAATCTCGGGAAAACCGATTTGCAAAACGGATGCAGAAATCGACGCTATCGCACGGGGAAAAATGGAATTTAATTTTAGTGATTTTAGCTGTTCTTATTAACCAAAAGCTTTTTTTAAAAGAAATCTGTATGTCTATTTCAGTATATAATATTTATTGGTCTTTGGTCATTATGCCACGCCGCCTACATCAGTCGAATGTATAGAGGACCCTCCGCATTTCGTCCTGGTGTAGTCCTTCAGAGACCCCAATTTCCATTCAGACTAATGCCACCAGTACCACATCGGGCACCATTTGTCGTCTACAGAAGTATTCCTCATAGGTTTGTACTATATAAATAAAATTTCAAGCCTACATACCTATATAAACACTTTTTGATTTTTGGCACCACGGGTAACTTGATATAATATTGATTAAAATGTATTCATTTTATAAATATACTTGCCATAATATATAACAAAATTTACCATTTAAAAGATGGAACAGAAAAACAATCTCAGCATTAAAACAATGTCGTAATCCTAATAGAAAAGATAAGGTTAAACCCGTTAAATTTAATGTATATAATGATTTCAAATTAATAACCTTACACAGATATGCAATTAAGACCGTGGGCCCTATGGTCACAAGGAATATGTTCGGAGTACCCTGGAAGACCACAGCACGAATACCAGTGCCCGTGACTCCAGATTACGACTTCGCAAGGGCTGCAACATCTCAGCCAGTTATTAGAACCGATGGTAGTATTTGTCCGATGTGCCCATGCACTAATCTTACTACTGTATATATCGATTACCCTTGCTTTATATAACATTACGCAATCTATTCTATTTCATTCCTGATACTTCCCATCTCTAGCACGATACATATCGACTCCGTCCACAGCTAAGGGTGTCAATATAATGTGTTAACTCTTTTCCCAACGTCATATAGGATTCTTATTTGCCAACAATCTAGTTATAAACTGTAGAATAGCTATAGGACTACAGTTTAATAGTGATATTGTCCATTGTCCACCGAACACATTTCTGTGTCCGTTACACTGATAGGTTTTATTTGGAGGAAAGTGGTTTAAACTTCTGTGCCTTGCCCAATGGAAACAATCTATTGTTTCCCCGAGATTCAAACCTCGCCCTTAACGCAAAGCAAGACCGCACGTTTAGCTACAGAAGCGGTCAGGTTTAGAGAGACGAATATAATTGCCTGATCGGTGTCTGTCATGTTTCACATTACCACAAGATTAAAGTCGCGGGTAAAAGGTAGTACTAAATATGATCGGCACCCTTAACGCTGTGGACGGACACTGGTTAAGGCTGTTTATGCTTACAGGCGCCATCCATACAATCCCAGCACCGAATCTTAGTTTATCGGAGAAACCAATTGTAGTGGCTGATGTTGGCGTTTTGGATTCTACGGACGCGCATAATATCGTTGAATCGGTAAGTATGCAATTTTAAGCTTCTGTTATAAACAATGTATTCCTTGTTCCTAAATTAAGATAGAAGACTGGCTCTTTATAAAACCCAATAGCGCTCCAAAAAACGTTATATTTAAGTGATATGTATAGTTTTCTTTCTTGTTAATGGTCTAAACGCCTAACAATTCTTTAGGCGCGAGAAGGCCAGGGCCTGGCCTATATCCTGGGAATATATTAAGAAGTAGAAGGGCATTTCATACTGGTAAAATCATCACTCATTCAGATACACATGTGTCTGTCCATGCATATAGGGAAAACTACTTTTATATATAATCGTCTGCTGGATTTTAGGATAGAATTTACTTTAATATATTTCGTTCAGATCAAGCCGACTTATGAAGTAACAGAAAATAACGGTGAAATACAATCCTACAAAGTACAGACGAAAATTGAAGCACCGGTAGGATTTTCCAAAGCGAATGTAAGTGTGGAAAATATACAGTGTTATTATCCTTAAAAAAAGTTTTTACGCCATTAAATAACAATTTTTCATTCGTTAACATTTCACTTTCAGTCCGCACCAAATAATGATTTTAATATACACAATAACGCCGATCAACAATTCAATCCCGCGTATGTTCAAGTTCATCAACCTGTTGCGCCGCAAGAATTTTCCATTCAGGTTCTTATACTTATTTGTACTGACTATTCTATAGATATATATAGTAATAATTTTGTATTGCATAACTTATTCATAATTTTAGCGCTTCAATGGATTACCATCGCATCAGGACTTGATACAGTCAGGCGCAGAAGGCCTCATAATCCCACCCGACCCGCTGTACCAAACAGACCCACTGTTTCTGCAGAAGCTGCAAAATCAATTATTACAAAAGTATCCAGCTGTCGAATTTATCCCGTACACGCCAAACGTCCCCACACAAGTACAACCACAAGTCCAGTCCTTCCAACCAACACCGTTTTATTTCGATAACGATCATGTTATAAAACAGCAACCGATGTCTTTCATCGTGAACGATAACAGGAATATTGTCCAGCGAGAAACTCAAGAGGGAACTGTCGTGTCTATAGTACCGCAGACATTGGTAACGAATAATGTAACAGAAGTGGTAACGACACCTAGAGATGTTACAACATCATACACCCCCGAAAATACAACTTCAACGAATATCGTTGTAACTGAGGCACAAACGAACGTAACCACAAACAAGATTGAAGAAAGTAAATCTGAAGAGAATAGAACTCAACCTATGTATTACGCACAAATTGAGCAAAGTGTAAGCAGTATCATTCCAAGCGGCTTTCAATTAACAACCAATAATGCTAAGACTGAAATTGAACAAACCAAGAATGTAGCTGACAGTAATATAAAAAGCGACACACTAATGACTACAACGGTAACACCAACATCAACTGTAAAGGTTGAAACTAGTCAGTACACAGATAATACCAAAGTACAGCCTGAAGCCAATGAAATTTCAAAAGAATACACAAATCTAATTGGCTCTCCTTTTGAAAAGCCTGCTGAATCTGTTAATATTGCGTACACGATATTAAGAGATAAAGAACCTAAGGTAGTTAAAAATGGAACATTTCTAGCAGGCCAAGTCGTTGCTGCAAGCATAACCGAAGATAAAGAATACCACAAGCAAAGAGCTCTTTCAAGTAGACAGTCGCATCATCCTCTGTCGGAGAAGAGGTCGGCAAATGTTTCATCTCCGCAAGTGGTCAGGGCCAAAATTCCGCCAAGGAGTAAATTAACCTTCGATGACAAGACAGGCGAACCAATTTTGCGGGTTTATGCGAGCTACGTGGATAGTCCGGCTAGGGTAAGCTTCTAAAATATACTTATTTAAAAGTTAAAATTTATTTTTGATATAAAGAATTTTTTTGATTGATTGACATTGATTTTATATAGAGGGCAAAAAGATGATCAGACGTTCCCCGGCTGGTCGCATCTACTATATTGTTGGCACTTAATATTTTTGTAACGTTTTTGATTTCAGAAGGAAGTTATAACAAAGAAGTTGACGAATCTAAAGCACTTAAGGGAGGCGATAACTAAAAGGCAAGAACACATCGACAATATTGACGCCGCTACAGTTAATGACTTAGCCACAGATATTAATCAGTTTGGATTGAAAATAAAATCTAAAAATACAGATAACGTTCATATCTTAGATGAATATAATAAGTAAGAGTATAAACACACAACATACTTATACAGAAAGTATTTTTCCATAAATATTTATATACTCTGTGCATTCTCTTATGAATTGAAGTTATTTGGACCTATAGGATCAAGACTTAAATATTTTTCAAGACATGGTTGACACTTTAATAATATATTATAGCATAGTGAAATTGCTTTGAGATTAAGATTACCTCTGATGTTATGAAAATTTCATTTATTATAGATTAAGTATAAGTTGTACATATACATAATGTTTTTCATATTAGCCATTGTTCTATTTACTGACTGTTCCAAAGACGAGGCAACCAATTTATTGATATTAAATATTTTAAGTGTATTCTTACTTTTTCAAAAAACCTTCAAATTTCACAATGATAAATAAAATAAGAGTAATTTATTTAACCTATAAATTAAAGCATTTATTTTGTTAAATTAATTTTAAGGAATATTTTGTTACACTAAATAAAAATGCTATAAAAATTACACAGTTTTTATTTTAGTCCACGCATTATTGATTTCAACATGACAACTGAATGTTTATAAGACAAATAATCTTCATCAACACAAAGGAAACTAAATAATTATACTTTAGAATAGACATTTTGTATAAAAGGGCTCTATATACAGACATTTGTGAGTAATTTAATCACGATAGAACTAAAAGCGTTTTATTATGTTCAGATCAACCACTAAACACCATCAATATACAGACATAAAAATGGTTTGATTTGTTTCATCAATGCTATCAATAATCTACACATTGGACAACTATTTTTCATCTTGTTGTGTTTACAACCTACTAATTTCTATACAAAAAACTATTTATCAGAATTATTGCTCATTCTTATTATCTTGTTTAGTATTTATCACTTATTTATTTTTTATTACAGCAAGCACTATTAGTTTGACATGCACCAAATAATGACATTTTATACAATTATTATATCAACTATGTATAATGAAAAATAATAATTTGAAGTTAAAGACTTAAATAAAAATGTTTCATGTTAGTAACCTGATCTAGATCTGTAAAAATTTATTATATTCTATGATATTAATGTAAGAAGCAAGTTCGAAAACAATGTATTGTATATATAAAAAAAGGGTACTACTACACGTAAAATAGAATGAACCAGTAAATCAATAGCAAATTTAGAGATTCAATGCAGATTTAGTGGTTGACAATGGCAATCATTCAAAGGTTTAAAATTATTTAACAGAAAACAAGAATTTATCATCTATATACCATTCATTTATACAAATTGTAAAAAAAAACTTGTGATGTCATATTGCACCAGTTTCTAAAGCTAAAAAGTATAATTTTTTTTAAGTTTACTTTTAATATTATTATAAAAGTGCTACTTAAGTTTTTCCAATTGGTCCATGAACCAGGGACGGCCTGTACCACGTTTCGTCAAGATATCGCATCCGGTTTCTGTCACAAGGAGTGTTTGCTCAAACTGAAACGGAAATAATTTGAAATTTAAAGTAATTGATAATCACAAAAGAAATAACATGCTCATTCGACGAACGCATGCCTCTTTTTTAATATGATTTAAACCATTTATGTTGTGTCAAGAGGGTATAGATAGTAATAAATAAGTCCTGTGCAGTTGCTGTGTGTTTATCAACTAAGTTAATACATCTCCACCTATATTCCATCAAAATTCTTAATCTTTTTAGCAAAAAAAGGTCTAATGTGAAATGGTAATGACAATGCTTATTTGAAAAAAAAAAAAAAAAATATATATTATATATATTATACGTACTTGAGCAGATCTAGAACCATCAGCAGTGACTGCTGTCCAATTATCGGGCCACTGTTCATCTCTCCAGTTGCCCTCGTTAATCATGGGCTCAATAGTAAAACAGTGACCTGGCTTCATCACACCTATTGCCTTGTTTTCTGAAGAGAAAATACTTTGATTTTAAAATTGAACAGAATTTAGTTTTTTGTATTTAAATTAAAATGATTATGTATTTGCTAAAATTTATGGAGTGTTTGTATTAGTAACAGTTACAAAATGCCTATAACCATTCATAGTTTTGTAATAAAAATAAAATCCCTATTTGTTGGGTATTCATTTGCAAAGATAAATTTTATGTATTTTTCCCTAAGTTATACAATTATTATATGAATGCAATTGTACATAGGCTGAAGCTTGCATTGGTATTATAATATAAATTCTTGCTTTATGTATTTATTTAATAAATAATCTGTAATGAGAGCTGCTTAGTGATAAAATTTTTTTCATTTTAGTTTAGTTTTAGCAAATTTGATTGAGGAGTGAAGTTACATGATATGATACTTACTAGCATAATGTGGTACATTAGGTGTAGTGTGGAATAATCTGTGTATTCCATGGCCACAGTACGATCGTACAACACTAAAGCCGTTAGCTTGAGCATGTTTCTGTATCACATTTCCAATTTCACGATACTTCTCCCCCGGTTTTACAATCTCAATAGCTTTTTGCAAGCATTCATATGTCACCTGCACAAGTTTGCGAGATGACTCGGGTACATTTCCAACAAAGAATGTTTCATTTAGATCTCCATGGAAGCCCCTATGATACACCGTTACATCAACATTGCACAGATCTCCATCCTGAAAACAAAAAGCAATCAAAATATTACACACTTGATGTTGTGAAATACACTTTTTTAACACACCTTTATTGTGTAAACCATTTTGAATGTAATCTGTTTAGCCATTTTTTAACAAAATCTTAACTATCCCAACAATTAAGAAATAAAAATATTTAAAACATGTTTTCTTTACCCCTATTTTTTATGGTGTTTTGAAAGTTATAACAATTTTTTTTTCTCAATTATGCATATTAAGATATGTATATTGCTACATCTATTTTATATTCAAAATGAATATCTTGGATTTCTATTGAAGAAAGTTGCAAGTACAGTTGATATATAAATATTTTTTACTGACCTGCAATGGGCGGGAGTCAGGAATACCATGACAAATAACTTCATTTACTGAAGTACAGCAACTGTTTGGAAAGTTGTGATAGTTCAATGGGCTAGGGTAACATTCTCTTTCAATACATGCTTCATGTACAACTCTGTCTATTTCATCAGTAGTCACCCCTACATCACATGCCCTGGAACAAATTTATTGATAAAGTTGCATTTGAGATTGGATTTTTTTTGCAATTTTTGACTTACATAAGGTGCATAATTAAACTGCATGGGACATATTGTCAATCGTCTATAGGAGTACACATTAAAAAAGTATTTATGTAATATCAATTTCCTTGGGATCAAAGAGGGCCATAAACATAATTGTTATTCCATTATATTTACTAAAAAGATCTTAGATGCTTACTCTATAACTTACTTACTATAAATCTCACTATTAAAATTTTGAATAATAAAATATATATTAAATAACCTCATCAATCATATAACATACTATTAAAAACTTACTTAGCAGCTTCATCAAGGACTTCTCTTCCAAGCCGACACGCAACTCGCATGCCTTCAATTTCCTCATCATCTAAGACCTTAATCTGCCCAGACCCCTTTGCTGCATTCTCAGAAGCTGGAAAACCAGTCGGATGGTCGGCATAGTCTGGGCGCCCAATGTGTGCAGGCACTGTACGTTTTGGACCAGGCGGGTAAGGTCTCAAATTTCCAGTAAATGAATAGGACGGCCATGGATTATATTCCCCATTAGTTCCATCTGTATTTTCGCCCTCTATAAGAATTTTTCAAATATAAATATAGTATTTTACGATGCACCAAGAGCATCCATCATGTTATAAAATCACTTACTAGCTAATGAATGGATAATTTTATGAGTCTTCCAGGACTTTTTGAAGCAGTCTTGTGTGCAAAAATAGGAACCCTGTATGCCTAATTTTATACAAGTCGGACACTGTAACTGAGCATTTGAATTACATCCCGGAGTCTCGCATAAGCCAATTGCAGCCATTTTAATGTAATTAGTTTTTTAATTCTTGCAAATCAAAAAAATGCTTGCAGGCCCGTTCCGGTATTTCTATTTTCGCAACTCACAAATAGGTTGGTTTTTACGCGTTTGACTTTGACATTACTATTGTCAATCTTAGTTGTTACTTGTTTTTCGTATTCGCCACTTACTCATATACCAGAAGTTTTTAGTCTATGGTTATCTTTATTATCTTATTGAAACTTTTGTTTTTCTCTTCGGCGGAAAATCCAATATATTACAGAAATAGATATTTCTCTGCTAAAAATGTTTGTTTAAAAGTACTACAAAATTACTATTACCCTTTTTTAAGGAATGAGTCGGCAGGTCCAATATTGTTTTTAATATTGTAATTATTTTATTTTAGATTATTGCTAATACATAAATCGATTCTTATTATGGGTAAACAAGGATTTCGTACCATATTTGGAGACTGAAAAAGCTAGCGTATTGTTTTCGTGCAGAGGCAACTCCGTTTCAAGCATTTTTATTGTTCTGCAATAATGATAATTTTAATACCTTATTACCGTATTTTCATTTTTATGCTCTTATGTTTTACGAACATCTAAAGCGTGCTCTATTTTATATTTTTAATGTGTTACTTACAAATACCTTCTATATATTTCTATTACCTCGTTTCATTTACCATTTCACTCATTCACATAGTTATATTCTTAACGATCGTTATGCGAGTGGGAGCAAGAGCACAAAACGTCGTGGTCTTGGGTTTGACTTCAAGACATGCCTTCGATTTTTAAATTTAATTTGGTTATTCTTAATATGAACCTACATTCTAACTAACCACGAAATAGTATTTAGAAGATCATTACATATAGTACGTAATAATTGTTATTTGAATAAAGCTTCAGAACTCACCATACACTAAGGCCTTGTGAATTCGATATAACACGCCATCAGGTAAGTCCAAAGATCTAATAAACGTGTTCCTCAGCTTCATATACAAAAAGTCCCACGTAGAAAATATTTCTTCGCCACTCATCTCACGAAATAAAACATAAAAAAAGATCTAGCAAAATTTATCGTATCAGCAGGCACGTCATATTGACGTAGATTTCGTTTAAAAGTGGTTCTATTTTTATTGTGAAGCAATTGTGAGGTTTATTTCCTTCCAGTCTGCTCCAGTATGAAGGACGGTACAAACGTTGAAAGAGGTAGAGTATTTTGAACATTCCATCCAGCTATTGAGGATAATTTAGAATGCTTCTTTATTATCAATTGAAAAGTGTCAATCAATTTCAAACTCCACAAAAATCCAATATTTATTTTGGCATAATACGATTTGTATAAGCTAAAATTGGTTCTTCTTTGAATCGTGTTTATTTTGCTTATTCGGCCTTTTAAAGAAAACCTCGAATCATTAAGGATTATTATTATATAAAAATACTAATGAAGTACTAAATAAAAATTAATGCTTCATAGTAGTCTTAATTTACACGACGAACGAATCTTATCTCGTCTAGCAGCTGTAGATAAGCTATTTATACTATTTTTTAAAGCTTGCACATACTTTTCGACGGATTGAAACGGGATATTTCTTCTAGATATGATATATTTACGAAAAGCAATTAAAACGTCGCGTCAAGTGTCTTAACAGATCTCCAATAAATCAGTTAAAGAAATTCTTGGTGCGTACGAGGTGTAGACCTTTAATTAAACGAGGTGTTATAAATAACAGCGATTTTATGAAAGTTTTTTCAAAGAGGTATTTAAGGTAACCCCATTGTATTAAAATAATTTACGATGTTATCTTACATGTCAAATCGTATAATAATTAACGTCGAAAGCCAAAATAGATCTATAACATGTTGCGAGGCTAGATTATTTTAGTAGTTCAGTAAATACTTGTTTCTTTCCTTAAAAATCGATTTCAGATTGACAAAAATAACGACAAGGATAGAATTTGAACAGACTTCCACAGCGTTCTGTGTTGTTGCTTTAACCAATTGAGCTACACGCCATCGTCGAATTTTATCTACGTATACAATGCACCTCTCTCGCAATATAATTTCAACCTTTTGTCTTTCTTTGTCACAATGAAGATTCTTTTGTATATGTTATAATTAATTAACTACTAAAAGGTGTGTTACCGAAGTTCGGACAGTATCGTAACTAGTATTTTGAAATCGCCGACCATTTACAAGTTGGTTGCTTAGTGTTCTACAATGTACACATTGAAGTGTCCCCGTTCAAAGCGTACCGAGTTACGTTTCCAAACAAGAACATCTGTTTTGCAGATAATAAACAGTTTCATTTGTTTATTATTGTGTTGCCTTATGGATTTTTAACCAACTTAAAAAAAAATATGTTTTAAACTTGATTCTTTTTGTATTTATCTTTGTTCGCACAACTTCGTCGTTTATAAAGAATTAATTTTTTTGAAATTAGAAAAATCATATTTTTTCTATTACAAGATGATTTAGATTATAAGAAAATCAGAATATGACTTGGCAGCGACTTCTAAATTATTTTTTATATAACTATAACAAAATAAGTATGTGTTTGTAGTTTTTAACCAATTTTAAGTAAAATATATTTTTTACATAGTTAAATTTTATTTATTTTTTCCACACTAGAATTTTTGCAATTATTATACTTGATCTATAGAACTATTGTTTACATTAAATCGAGTAAAAAATAATCGAGTAGAAAGTATTGCATTGTGAGTATAGGTCTCTGTAGAAGAGAGCATAAAAGAAGTACTCCTACCACACCGTTCTACTTAGGTTGGTGGGCTTAAACGATTTCCGCCACTTTATTAGTGATGATAACCAGAGCCAACAGATAAAATCGATATTTTAGATATTTAGAAATTTCTGTAAAAGAAAATGAATCGCATTATAGAGTATAAAAATTGTATTTCTTAATGCGGAAAGCTCTATACGTCATTTCTTAAGGGTGGATACAATCACCGTGACTCCATAGTTGAACGCGATGCCTAGGTTACGTTAAGCACGAGAGGTTCGAATCCTGGATATAATAGTTTCGGTCAACCACGACATAGTAAACAGATCATCTATCTAACTGATAATATTTGTTATTATGCGTTATTTTGCCCCATTCCCTATAAAAGGCCAACGGAGTTTTGCTCATCAAATGATAAAATGATAAAGCCCCTAAAACTCATAACTTACTAAATAATTGATATTTGGATTTCAACGTTTATTATAAACTAAGTGCTCGGGCTTAGGTATCTAATACCACTTAAATCCTACAAGTTACAAGATACTTGCACAAACCAGAGCACCTGATACCTCTTGAGGTCAGCTTCCTCTGTGAAGATATTAATAATTTCCTGGTGATGTTTCAAATTTTCCAGGCTGTACATAGATGGTACATTATCTCGTGTAACGTAACGATGTAATCTTTTTTCTTATATATGTGTATACAATACGTGAAATTCTCGCGTATTACACTTTAATGATTCAGTTAAAGCTTTTATATATATTACATTTATGTATCGTCGTCAATCTATTAATGCTCCATTACTTAACTTTCCAAAGAACGGGGGTAACGGTATATTCTATTTTAAACTCCACGCTATCATTGGAAATATAGCCAGCATTAGAAGCAAGGACATTGTTATGATAAAGGTGGACAGATAAACATGGCGTTTACCTGATGCTGTGGAAATAACCCAGCCGTATAACATCTAAAATAGATATGTTGTCGACCTATTTTGGCTTTGATTTTCGGAAAGTCACAGACTGATACCGAAACGCGATTAAGCTTCACGGTTTTTTCATCCATGGACGGTGGTCGTAACCCGGACGGAATTTCGATATTCCTACTATCAATTTAATATCCAGATTTCCGGACGCAGATCCATGTGTTTTAAGAAATGAAAAATACCTCGTATTTGCATTCGAGTAGACTATCCAACAAAAGGTGGTATGGCATATTATTTCATACAAAAGTAAACTATATTTTATGCAATTTACCATCTAAATTACATTTTATTTAGTTGCTTCTTGTAGATTTTACGACCCCTATACGGGAATCAGCAGTGATTCGTATATATATGGAACCTTTCATCTGAATAGCGTAGGGAGGGTTACCTTAGCAAGTGTCTTCCCGTCCGTTGTTCTGTCTGAACGGCAGACAGTCACCGCCTCTCGCGTAGAGCGCTACACGACATCGTAGACACCGCTTATACTCGTAGCTCTTCGGTGCGGAAAAGTTATTTTTGGGTAAGTTAATCTACTATTACTCTTATATACTTGCTATTTTCGACAGTAACTATTTAAATTGCAGTTGAAATAATATTACAATTTTGATCATTACAAATTTTACAGTTCAAAGTTAGTTCAAATAAGGGCTTATTATAGTTAAAACGTCTAGTTTCGGTGTCCTTAAAAAAACTTTGGACTAATCGCGTTTTAAACGTTAAAGTGTTTTATTTAAACTTATTATAGTTTCTAAATTAAGAAAATTATGGTCCAGCTGATAGTCGTCCAGTTGTTCTACCAATTGAGCTACTGTGGGATTTCGAGTATAAAGCTCAATTTAAGTAGAATACTTTTCACAATTAAAAAAGCGAGATATATTAGCTAACTTAAAATAATTTATCTTTACTTAGCTGCGCTAACGTAGCAATTTTGACTTTGACATTAGGTAAACCCTTACATTCAGTCCCCCCGTGACCACGACTGATGCAAAGCATCCGAAAGTTCGGGCCGTAGTTAAAATAAATTGTAAATAAGTTAAATAATATATTCCGCATTGTAAAGCTTTAAAATAGGTATTACCTACAGACAATACATAAAACTTAATTGCTAAAACAAAATACAGTACTCCGTTGGTTGTTGATTCGAGTACTTCTACTGTCTTTTTGTTCTTTCAATTTATAATATTTTTTTTAATTTGCTAAGGTAAGGTAAAGGCTAAGCTAAGGTGCTTACGATATTCAAAAATAATATTTCCAAAAAAAAGGTTAAAAAACCTTCTCTTCATTTAAAACATTAAGG